ATATTATATTTTATATATTTATTTATTTATATATTTATATATATATATATGCTATATTCCGTAAAGACTGGGTCTCCTGAAGGTTAAGGGCCTGAAATGTCTTTGTCAAAGTAAACTCAGCCAATACATTACTGTGATTTATTTTGAACGCTTTGTAAGGCGGCTTAGTGGGGCGGGTAAATCAGCTGCACAGCGGGTCACTATTGAGGGAGATGGCCACCATATTGTCAAGTACATGAAATATTTCAAAACATTTTCTGTATTTGACAAGCAGTCAAACTTAAGCGGCCACTCGTCAAGTGACAGGGGTCCCGGGAGCAAACAGTGTCCCAGAGGCTCCGCAGTTACAAGACTCAGTCTCACAGCCCCGATGGCAGTTACCATTCCATTAAGCTTTGCAATGTGGAGCAAAGAAACATGAAATAAAAAAGGAATGCGCAAGAAATTTCATTTCCTGGCACTCAACTGGCAACAGGACACCCTGCCATAGCGAAACCCACCAGAAAATCTCAAACCAGGCACAACTCGAGTCACTCATTTGGCTTTAACATAAAACCAATTTAAACTTATTCTGCTTGGGGTAGACGCTTCTGGTGAACAATCGACACGCGGCTTCGCTGTAGAACGTTCCCCAATATGCAGACACTCAACAAACTACCCTACGGAAAATGACAAGGAAAAAAAAGAGGCGAAAATCAACAATTTTAATTTCATTTTTGTGCAGTATTTTAAAGTTGACTCCCAACTTACCTGAGTGGGTCTCGGGTGAAGACTTGTGGGTTGCTCTGTTTCCGTTTTGGGGGGTGGCTACGATTTAATACGCGTGGGAAAAGCAACAATGGTGCCGCGCGAGAAAACTTGATAATACTTACGCTGGCGCTGCTTTTTGGCTTTTCCTTAAGCCTCGGGAAAGCAACTTTTGCCGATGCGGCACGTAGCAATCATAATTATGTGGATTTTGGAAATTAAGTAAGCGAGTGCCAGACAAGTTTGAGTATGAAGCCACTGTGATAGCGATTAACGCTCGCACAGATTTATGCACAGCTTGAGTAACAACAGGTGCGGGCAACGGGTCCTTGAGTCCCGACCCGCTCCATTGTTAATCTGGCTCTAGGCTCTATGCGCGATGGATGCAAGGTGCAATTTAAATTCCAAATTTGTTAAACTGTCACAAGCGCTGTGAATGCGAAATGAGCACACGGCTCACAACATGCGAAGCATAATTATATGAGGACGCTAAAAATAGGTGGAGAACACCTCCGCGCTGGCTGGGTGGCTGACAAGCTGGAGTTGGCTGCAGGTGGCACAAGCCGAGGAAATTGCTTCAAACTGGCTTGCCGGAGCTAAACAAACAAGCTGCGTTGAATTACGATGCCGCACGCACGTGGTTGCCACAGCTTGCTGTTGCTGTTGCTGTCGCTGTTGCTTTTGATGCAGGTGGATTGTCAGTGGTGTGTGTGTGTGTCTAAGTGGAGTGTGCTGCTACCGCCCACATGAGTAATAGTAATGTTGTTGCCTCCACTCAAGATGTGTGCCGCTGCCACCAGGCTTATGAATAAATTAAGAAAAGGCCGCTTTGCAAACGGGGCCAACGAGAGGCACGGCGCGTAGATGTGGCAGCAGTGCGAAAGTGTCTCGAAAATAAAACAGACGACGTATATAAAAAAGGCAATTTAAATACGATTCACGAGCGAAATGGGCATGAATGAAGTGCCAGATATCCTGTAAATAATGTTAATTATTGTCAACTTGTCTGAAACCTAATATTTTATTTAAGTTGAAGAGTGTTATGTGCAGTACGGAAATCTTACAAACATATCATAACATCTTAATTTAAAATTGAAAAAAAAAATGGGAATAAATGAATAGGAATAATTGTGTTTGGTATACGGCCTCGTCTAGTGGCAATATGCCCCTTAGGGCTTTGTATGGAGGCTCTTCTTGCCTGGCAGATAAGAAAGCAACGGAAGATAACGCCGTTTAAATAGAATCTGGTGATGGTTGGATGCAGCCTCGGGCCAAACAAAGTGCAGGACATAAAGAAAATGTCAGCATGGGCACGCTTCTCAGAGCAATATGAATGATGCTGGATTGGGAGCTAGGGGTAGAGGGCAAAGTAGAGTAGGGGCTGTTTGGATGAGCAATTGGAGTAGAGCTGTAGCTCGCACAGGTGATTTACATAGCATATTTAAGTGGAGCACTTTGTGAACTCGCACACGACACGATACGACACGATATCATCATCGTCAACGCCATCGCCAGCGCCGTCGTCATCATCATCATCATCATCATCATTATCATCATCATCATGATGGTGCATAACAAATGTTGCACAAAATAAAAAACGGAGACAAAAAACAACTGCCAGACGGCAGCAGAGCTCAAAAGCAGAGTAAGGAAATAAGCTTGGCAAGGACGTTGCAAGCATAAAGAACATATTTTGACTAAGATGTATTACAAACGACAGCATAAGGAGTTTGACATTTTTATTATGTTGCCGCCAGCGGCACATAGAGAGCGACTGAACGAGAGAGTGAGTGAGACAGAGAGAGAGAGAGAGAGAGAGAGTAAAAGTTATTAGTGCACCAGATTTAGCTTGCATCAGCTTTGGGGATTAGCTCTGATTACCTCCAAAAAGTTGCAACAAAAAGCGCAAAATGGATTTGCAACTAGTCGCAACTGGCGGCAAATGCTGAGGCTAAGAAGTTTTTGATGTGCATATAATTCAATTATTATTGCCCTTAGCCCCAAGAAAAGCGATTTGGTTAACTCGCTGGCTGGCTGGCTGGTGCTGCGGCTGTTGCGTTGACTCGCTGTCTGGCTGCCTGGCGGTCTGTGCTGGCAACAGAACAGAAGAAATACAATTTATTTTAAATAAATATGATTTATTATGTTTGGCATGCCTGGCTCCTTGCTCGCTATACGAGAGGCAATCTGCAAGAAGGATTACGGAACACGAACGCTTAGTTTGCACAGCACTCAAAGGCGACGACGAGCAATAGGAACATGAGATTGCCCGAGCTGCTACCCCCGTTCCAACCTTCCATACAAATCTTACCCTTGCATAAAGCAAATTTGACTTAAGGTACATTTTGCGTTTTATGATGATGACTTAGAATGATGAAGAAAGCCAGCCGAAAAAAAAATATAAAACGTATAACATCTCAGCGAAGGCTTAAATCTCAGGGAATGTGCAAAGGCAAAGGGGAAGGGAAAGGCAAATATCCATCAACAGGTTTGAGTATTGACAAACATAAAAACGAAAGCTCACACACACACATGCCATATAAATTTGACTATATGATTGAAATTTGATGATTTTGATGGATGGCATCGAACATTTAAATTGAGCACATGAATCGCAAGTACTTTGGAATGAGCTGTACATAAAAAGAGGTATCAAATTCATATGTAAACTCTTTTGTTGAACAAGTGGGTTGTTGGCTTTGAGTATTTACATTAATTAAAATTCCATTTGCTTAGGCAGGTCGGCAAACATATGTCAGACAGTTTAAGTTGCAGATTATTTCTATTAAAAATTAAAAAACAAAATGCAACAATTACCACTTGTTACTTAGCCAACTAAAGTGTTGACAGCAACACTCTTGAGTCCAAAGATATCTGTGGCGAGATTACACCTAATAGACATGTGTCTGTTCAGTATGTGGCTACATAATTCAAATAACCCTAAATTACACTTGTCCTGTCTCAAAACAAGAAACTATTCAGGTCAGCACTAAATACCATTAGCAGGACATAAATGTGGAGTCGGCAAAAGTGCAATTGCAACTGCAGCAACAACTGGATCAGCAGCAAGCAAATACATGAGAGTAAATATTGCAGTCGCAGCAGCAACCAGTTGCACATAAGCTTTAAGTTTCCTCAGCATAGAACTAAACAGCATTCCAACTAAATATTTATGGTTGTCCAAAGACGCAAGTGCTGAGTGAAACCCGTAAAATATTTTTGGATTTTTGTATACTTTGCAAAATTGTAAGAGAGTCATTTGACTTATTACTTAAGAGTAAATATACTTGGCTGAGGCTCTAATTTTGAATCCTAAATAACATTTATGGACTTAAAATCCAAATGCGCATAGATGTTCATTTAACTGATTGGATCAGTGCTAATACCATGGCTGAAATGCCACACAATCCGCAACTTAGGCAGAAACCTTAAAATGTTCGGTTTATGGTCAATGGTAACGGGCAGGTAAATAGGATATTTATGGACCACAGAAGCTTGCGGGCATTTGGCCCGTGCAGTGTAGCCTCTGCAAATAAAACACGCAAAATACGAGGCTTTACTGTAAAATTTCCAGTGGAGTTGTTATGCAAAACTAATTGGCTGCTCAGAAGCGGGCCCTGCATCTGCATCTGGACCTGGCCGTAGCCTCCCTGTGGGTCAGCTTCGCTTCTGGCCGGCAGATTATAGTCATGGCTGGTGCTGCTGGCAGATACGTTTTAAAGTCCGGACCTCAGGCACAAAGCTCCGGTCGTGCGTGCCGGGGACATTAAAAACGTTGGCGCCTTTAAGCGGACAACTACCGGTAGATGCCCGATTCAGCAGCTCCCGGACTTCAACTCCAGTTAAAGTGCACAATTTGGAACAATGTTGCTGGTTGCTGGTTGCTGGTCGCCGTTTGCTGCTTGCTGTTTGTTGTTGTTTTGTTGCTTGTCATCAGCATCGTTATATTGTTATGGCCATTGTTGTTGACGCCACTCGCTTATCCCCTTCGACGTCCCTACTTCCCCTGCTTTAGCATGGCGCGCGCCTTCCTGTTGTTTCTGTGTTGTCAGCTAATTGAATTTTCAGCATGAAATTTAATTTATCTTTGTTGTTTGTTTGCGCAACAAATGGCCGAAAAAATGCAAATCCAAAAGTGGAAACAAGTTAACAACATTCCTTTTCTCTCTCTCTCTCTCTATGTTCCGTGAATTTTTGTAATTTGGCAAATCTGTTGGCTTAGTTTGTTTATGTTTTATCCCCTAAATAAAAAAAACATTTGTTTTCTTTTTCAGTCGATAAAATGAAGTGGACGCTGACGCTGTTAATAATCTGTCTGGCATCGGAGCTAGTCAGCTGTAAGCATTTTTTTACAATTTTGTCAAATTGACTAAGCTATAATAAACCCTCTAATATTTCGGTAGCTGAAACAAATCTGCCGCCTGTTTTCACGCAAACCCTCAACAATATTGTGCTCTATGAGAACAAGCCAGTGGGATCAGTGGTCTTCCGATTAGAAGGCTACGATCCTGAGCAGAGCAATGTGACATTTGGCTCCATTGGCTCCGATCATTTTAGCGTAGATCCAATTTCTGGAAATATTACACTGGTTAAGCCCTTGGATCGCGAGGAAACGGACAGCCTAACATTTTTGGTATCGATCAGAGATCGCGTGGATCCAAAGGGCGAATCCGAGCAGGATAATGTTGTGGAACAACCAATTACGTTCATCATACTTGATGAAAATGACAATCCGCCGGAGTTTCAAAATGTAAGTGCAAAGGGAACAGCGCACAGCTGGATTGATCAATTGAATATTATTTTTGTTTAACTGCACTCTAGACCCCTTATGAAGCGGATGTTAACGAGGACGCCGTGGTGGGTACCACAATATTCGATAAAATATTGGTGAAGGATCGCGACACAATTGGGGACAGCCTTGATCTGAAATGCGTGCCACAGCAACAAAGTCCTGAGGCGTGCAGCAAGTAAGCTATTGCCAAACTTTGATGAAAAGTCTTATAAAAACTGTTACCGATCCTTGCAGATTCCACTTGCAGTTGCTAACCCGGGAGGCGACCATCCTCACGGCTGCAGTGGTGGTCAATGACACTCTGAACTACAACCAACGAATGATCTATCATTTCCAAATCGAGGCTAGCGATGGAGTGCACAAAACCCAGACAACTTTTGAGGCACGCGTCAAGGACGTGCAGGATAAGCCACCAGTCTTCCAGAGATCCCTCTCAACAGTCATTGACGAAGACAGTCCCATTAACACCTTGGTTCTCACCGTGCAAGCTCGTGACGGCGACAAGGGGGAACCTCGGAAAATTGTCTACGATTTGCTGAGCAGTGAGTATACCGCAGGCGAAAAGCTGCTGAACGCTAGAAAAACTTCATTAAACAAACTCCATGATTACATATCGTCCATCCAAATCCATTCAGATCCCAATGATTACTTCCTTCTGGACTCAAACAGCGGCGAGCTGCGCACGGCGAAGCCCTTAGATCGTGAGGCATTGACAGACTCTACCGGCCTAATCTCGCTGGTGGTACGTGCCCGCGAGGTGGTGAACGATGTGCCCAGTGATGACCCCCTGACCAGTGCCACGGCTAGAGCTACGGTGACCATACGCGATGTGAACGACTCGCCACCCAAATTTAATAAGAAGGAATACGAGGTGTCGTTGCTCGAAAACACGCCGGAGGGTACTCCACTGGCCCTGGACATGAGTGTCAGTGATGCTGATGTGGGAATCAACTCGAAGTTTGCGCTGCGCTTGGAGGATGTGTCCGGGGTGTTCGACGTGGAACCAAAGCTAGTCACAGGCTACTCGCAGGTTAACATACGCGTGGCCAATGGGACGTTGGACTACGAGAATCCCAATCAACGCAAGTTCATAGTCTTGGTTATAGCGGAAGAGACAGACACGAATCCCAAGCTCTCCTCTACAGCCACAATAACAGTGAGCGTGCTGGACGCCAATGACAACAAGCCCAGCTTCGAACAGGAGAGCTACTCGGCTACAGTCTCCGAGGCAGCTCTACCGGGACAGTACATAACTACGATTACCGCCAAGGATGTGGATTCGAGCAGCTTTGGTGATGCAGGGATACGGTACAGCCTCTCCGGCACTGGTGCGGAGCTGTTTCATGTCAATGAGCAAACGGGCGTCATCACCCTGGGCGATTGTCAGAGAGAGAGCAACAGGCGCCAGCGACGTGACCTCCATGAGAATGACAGCGATGGTCACGCACTTGAAATGCTTTCCATGGAGGCGGAACAGAGCCTCGACCAGCGACAGATTAACACAGAGCCCACCGTGCAATACACGTTAATCACGCAGGCGCCGTTGCAGTCGCAGCCAGCAGCAGCAGCAGCAGTAGACGCGGTAGACGCGGGAGCAACGGCAACAATATCGGCGGCAGCGGCGGCAGCTGCTAATGACGACAAAGCCGCCAGCAGCAAGGCGCCGACGACGTGTCTGGACTATGAAACGGAGACCACGTACTTCTTGTCATACAAGGTGGGTGTGGGAAGATGTTGACAAACAATGACTTTTATTAGCTCAAATCGGGGTCACCCAACTATGTTATGCAATTGGTGTGCCATAAGTAAACCATCTACAAATGTCTCACAATTGGTTTCGTATCAAGTTGAAATATTGAACTCAAATTTTTTATTTGTTCAAAAAAACTTTAAATAGAAGCAACATACTACGTTATCTTTATATATAGATCAGATACTTTAAAAATATAGCGAAATATCTATCTTAGTTTGAATGATTTAAGATAAGAACTGCTCAAGGTCTACTAGCTCTATATAATATGTGTATGATCGAAACTAGCAACGATCAATGACAATTTGCAATCACAATTATTGCGAGCTTCTTAACGCTTTTAGGGTATGCAAGTGTCGACATCTATAAAAATATCTTATCAATATATTTCTCACACAATCTGTCTTTATTTTGATTACTATGCAGGCCACCGACGACAATGGACAAGGTCAGACTTCTGTGGTCTCCCTGCGGATATCGGTGAGCGATGCCAACGATTCGCCGCCCGTATGTGAGAGCCCCCTCTACCGGGCCAGTGTGGACGAAGGCGCTTTGGTCTTTGATTCGCCATTGGTGGTGAAGGCGCGCGACGCGGACACAATGTCCAGCATTAGCTACCGGATTATTGGCTCATCGCAGATCGAGAGCATCTTTGACATTGACAAGCGAAGCGGCCAGATTAGCATACGCCCCAACGCCAGCCTGGATGTGACGAATCTGAAGAGCGAGCAGCTCATATTTGTGGTCGAAGCCAACGATGGACTCTTTACGGCCAACTGCGGCGTCAACATCACAGTACGCGATGTTAACAATCATGTGCCCAGTTTCCAGCAGCAAAACTATAGCGCCGTCGTCGAGGAGAACTCAGAGATTGGTACCAGCGTTGAGAAAGTGCAGGCCACCGACCTGGACACTGGAAAGAATGCCGAGCTACGTTATCGCATACAACAGGGCAGCTTCAATGACTTTGATATAGATGAGCGCACTGGCGAGGTGTTTGTCTCGCGCAAGCTCGACTATGACAGACGCAACACGTACCACCTACAGGTGCAGGCTGCTGATCTGGGCACGCCCAGTCTCACAGGCACCGCCACATTGACAATCAATGTGCAGAACAGCAACGATAAGGATCCCTACTTCGTGCCCGCTACACAGCATGCTGAGGTGCGTGCAGACGCGCCCACTGGCCACCTTGTGTACACTCTGATCGCTCTAGATCCCGACGTGGCCACGCACAATGCCCTCGAGTTTGCGGCCACCGATGACATTACGGCCATTGATAAGGAGGGCAAGGAGCTGCTTCACAGCGAGCAGTTTAAGGAGTACTTTGCCATCGCCCGCAATGGCAAAGTTCTGGTCAACCGCCAATTGGATCGCAATCTCTTTGCGGTAATGCGCATCAATGTACTCGTGACGGACAGCACTGCGCCCAATGTGCAGCAAGGACGCGGCCTGCTCATTATACAGATAATCGACGTCAATAAAATACCTCCGGTCAGTTACTTTTCACTATTTAATTTACGCCCACGCTTTATTACGAATTGATGGGCCGAAAGTGATAATGGGCTATTTCAAATTCTTCGTTGCTTTCGTGCTCAAGACTGGCGCCGTTCTCGTCGTAGGTCACTTGTGACACAATTTGATGTTGCTTTTCCGTGTACATATTGCTGTAAGAAAAGAAGTGTAGTAGGGTAAGGCGGGGGATATTTCTTTATTAGTGAGCTGATGCTGATTCTGACGTGCCAGACACCGAAAGACTTCGGACATGCTCGCTCTGTCTGGCACTACCTTAATCAGCCGCATTGCGTCGAAGGCTACTTACAGCACCGATACAGAGCAGGTGGTTTTTATGATCATTTTAGCGAAGAATACCGCAAAAACCGCGTATGATTGCGAGTACAAATACTTTATACTGGTGTAGCCCAAAACAATTTCGTAGATGTTCAACGCCACATTGTCGAGCAGCTGCACAATGATTGTGGGCATCAGCAGTTCAGGCTGGGAATTTGTCAAGATTGGATAGCTGCAGTCCAAAGTTGCATGCAGGACGAAAAGGAAAGAAGAAATCAGTATAAAATTTAAGTTCGAGCTCCAGCAATTCCGAGATAATTAACGTAGTTTTGGAGTGTTTTAAGACAAATACTTAGATATCGAAATAATGTATTAGCCCGATCCATTAGACTTTCATTGCATGCGGGAAATAGCTCAAAATCGGTCCAGGCGTACTGACTTAGTGAAGACTATGCAGGCGTTATGGCATCGGAGTGCCTAATGCAATACATATAAAACTTAAGAACTTACATTGCAATTATATTTGATGCTAGTCCAACAAAACACAGTAGGAAGCGCAGCAGGATCAGACTGGATATAAGGAATATGAAAAGCTCTTGTATCCAGGTCTCCTGCTTGGCCGCATTCACCACCAGTTTGACGTCACGCATATCCGGGTGTAATCGATGGATATTCAAGGAGGTCGCCTTGTACAATACAGATACTATATTTATAAAGAGTAGCTTTAGCTTTCCATAGGACATATCCTGCAACATTTCGAACATCTGGAATCCAAATAATGTGTGACTGAATTTTCATAAACAACATGCTTGCTTCCACTTTCTTCCATTCCATGCAGAGATTCAATGCGCCCTGGAGCCCCGAACAGCCGGTGATAAAGTTGCAAATGGTCGAGGAGCAGCCAGTTGGCACCGTGCTGACCACGCTGCAGGCGAGCGACGAAGACTCTAGCATTGGCGAGTTCAACATTACGTCCAATGATTACTTTGCCATCAATCACACCACAGGCACCATTTACACAACTGCCCGCTTGGACTATGAGGCCGTCAAGGAGGTCAAATTCACGGCAACAGTCAGCGATACAGGCGTGCCGGCGCTGACTGCAACAGCGGACATTGTCGTCGACATTATCAACCTGAATGACAACGAGCCGCACTTCACCCAGTCTGAGTACTATTTCAACATCACGGAAAACTCCCCGCGCGGCACAGTTGCTGGCAAAGTGGAGGCCCACGACAGCGATGTGGGTGCCTTTGGCGAGCTGACCTACACGCTGATAGGCGAAAACAACAAATACTTTACCATCGATGCCTACACGGGCAACGTGATGGTGGCAAACGCATCCATATTGGATCGGGAACAGCTGAAAGAGCTCACGCTTTCCGTTGTGGCACAGGACAAGGCACCAGCCACGGTACAAAAATCGGCGACGGCAACGGTGAGTGACATTAGATATACATCTTGATATATATTATATTATAGATTATTGAATAGAATATTATATTATATAATAGAAGCAGATTTATGTAAGTGCAGATGTTGATAGATACACATACAGATATATATGCGTTCAGATATACATAAAAATAAACAGATAAAGAGACGGATACAGAAGCATGCACAGATACAGATAAAGATACAGATAAAGATACAGATAAAGATATAGATGCAAATACGAATAAAGATACAGATTCAGATAGATATATGGAACATTCAATTTCATTAATATATCTTCTTCTCTTCACCTTCTCTAGATACACATCAATATTTTGGATGTGAACGACAATGCTCCCGTCTTCACCCGGCCGGTGTACAATTCAACGGTCTCGGAGAATGCAGCATATCAGCCGCCAGCTGCGCTACTGCAGGTGCAGGCCATAGATTTGGATGAGGGCTTATATGGGGATGTGCGGTATATTATAACGGGAGGCAATGAGCTGGCACTCTTTAAGCTTGACGCACAGTCGGGCATCATTTATCCGGCTCAAAGTCTGGCCGGTAAGCATGGTGTTTACGAGTTGGTGATATCAGCACGCGACACTCAGGGTTCGGGCACCATGGAGACAACTGCGAAGGCGGTCATCACAGTTCTGCGCGTTAATCGCCATCGTCCGGAATTCGTGCTTCCGGCTCTGTCAAATGCGACTATCGAAATACCTGGCGACATCGTGCAACCGGACTATTTGCTGCTGACCGTCAAGGCGCTGGACAATGATACCGACGGAATCGGAAAGGTCAGCTATCATCTGCAGGTAAACAATCAAAATGTGCAGCAGACGACCGAGTTCAAGATCGACGAGGCCACCGGAGAACTGCGCGTCAGGCAGCAGCTCAATCGAAAAAATCGCGCCAAGTAAGTTACAGAAATGGATTATTTCAAAAGTACAATCCTTATTCAGATTTCCTAAATATGTGATCTGCAGCTATGATATCATATTGGTGGCACGTGATGCTGGCAATCCCCCATTTGAGTCCCTGCGCCTACTGACCGTCAGCATTGTAGATGCGAATGAGAATCGGCCAGAGTTCCCGGACGCCTCCAATCCCTATAAGGTATCAATAAATGAGAACAGCGGTCGTGATGTCAAGATTGGCCACATTCAGGCCGCCTCGCGCAGCAAGCACAATCGTGACATATTTTACTATATGCTCCTGGGCAACGAAGATGGCGCCTTCTATGTGGACAAGCTGACTGGAGATATTTACACCAACAAGAGCCTGGACCGTGAGGAGACCGATGCGTATACTCTGTACATATTGGCCAGCATCAAGGCGGACTTGCACATATCTGAAGAAGAACGCGCTTCGTTTTCGATCAAGACGTTGAATCGAGATAATACTGTGGCCAAGGTAGCTATTACCGTGCTGGATGTGAATGATAATGCGCCGGTCTTTGAGAAGTCCGTTTACTACGCGGGCGTCAATGCCAATGCCAAAATGAATGCGGCCATCACTCTGGTCAATGCTACCGATGCGGATCAGGGTAAAAATGCCAAGATTGAGTATATGATCGTTGCTTCAAATCTGTACAAATTCGGCGCTTCCAAGTCAACGGGCTCCATCGTGCCCAGTCCGTTTGCCATATCGCAGGATGGCCGTATCACAGCCAATACAATAATGGCCGAGTACAACCAAGACCGCTTTGAGTTGGAGATCGTGGCAAGAGAACTGGAGCAGCCGCAGCGCTCGGCCAACACCAAAGTTAATGTAAGTTAACAGACAGCGAATGACATTGAGAGATTCGGTCTAAGAATTTAGCCTTTTCAGATTTGGGTATTTGATGGCACCCAGTTGGTTAGGGTGATTCTATCCCGTCCACCCGAGGAGGTCTATCAGGAGCAGGAAGAGATTATAGCTGAGTTACGCAATGCCACACAGCATCGCATCATTGTGGACGAAATACGCTTCCATTTGGATTCTATAGGACGCATTCGCATGGATTGGTGTGATCTGTATTTCCATGCCGTGGATCCTCAGACACAGCAAATAGCACCAGTCGATGAAATTCTCAAGGATATTGACAGAAACTACGATTATCTTAAGGTAAAATCTCGTTTATCTCAATAATTCAATTAAAATAATCCACATCCTCCCTCTTTCCAGGATTACTATGCAGGATTCGCCATTGAGAATGTTGTGCCCGCCTATATAGCCATTGTGCAGGATGAGTTCGATTTGGCCGTGGCTGGCCTGGTGGCACTGGTCATAGTGCTCTTTGTGGGCGTCATTAGCTTCATTGTGCTCTGCTGTTGCCTGAAGCATTGGAATCTCTCAGTGCCCGTAGAGACGCGTCGCAAGGAAGCATTGATTAAAAAGCAAATTATTGAGGATCTGAATACGACCGAGAATCCGCTCTGGATTGAACAGTATGTCCTCCTTAATCTTAGCCATTTGTCCGTCATTTACTCATTTACTATTTATTCGCAGGAAACTTAAGCTGTATGAAGAGCAAGAGTTGACCATGCAGGTCTTTTCGGAGCCCGACCATATATCTAACTCAGATGCTCCTGGGCATTTGGATCATCGCAGCTCACTAGAGCAGGTACATCATGGCCAGTCGGTGGACAACACTTACGCCACCATCCAGCCACGCAACAATCAGAATCGTCTGACCGCCGGCTCCGGCAGCAACGGTGGTGCCGGTTCCATTTCCATGCGAAGCGGCGGTGCAGTCAGTGGCGGTGGGATCGGCGGAGCAGGTCTGCTTCAAACCCGTATTGATCCACATGCCAACGATTTTGCGGACTATGCCACACTCCGCAACAATCGGGCTCCTTCTGTAAGTTGTCCAGCAATCGAGCGAATATATTCTGGCACTAATTAAGGTCTTTTATTTCACAGATGTACGAGTTTACAGGCTCCACATTCCAGGCACCAATACGGGATGGCGACGACGCCGTAGCCGAGCTTATTTAAGCAGTGCAATCTGCAGCTAAAATCTAAATTGTAAATTTTGTAGTAGCTAACTATTTAGAGAACCCGTAGAAACGATTTAGTTGAATTCATCTAATTTTCTGATTTCACGAATTTGCCCGTTGTGCAAATATAAATTTATACAAGTGCATATACAGACACATACATATATATATGGAGCGTAGTAGTATATAATATGCTAACAATATTTAAAGCTCAACTAATCACGAAAAACAAAAGTAAACTTTATAATACTTACGTATGAAAATGTGTAAACGGCTACAAACTAAACCCCATAGTGGAATTTCTCCCGCATAAATAATGACAATAATATATATGAAAAAACAAATACACACACACATATATATATATATATATATATATATATATATATATATATATATATATATATATAAATATATATATATGTATCTATATGTCTAATGATTATATGGATGTCTAGCGTAATATGTAAGCGTTAGTTATGGTTAAAATAATTGGTTTACTCTACTTGAATAACGCCGCGATATTAGTTTAAACGCGTACTCACTTTTATGTATTACTAAGTTATACCATTTAGAAATAGACTAAATTATTTGCTCTTCCAATTCGTATTACGTTAGTTTTCGGACATCAACTGTTAGCCCTTAAGTTTAAAGTTTAATTAGCCGCGCTTGCTCATATACATAAGTTAAATGTATTTAGTTAAAGATATTAATATATAAATACATAGAAGCCGTATATGCGATATCAACTGCTCTATGGAATCCATTAGAACAGAGTCATAACTCATTCGTTTGCATTTACAGTATGAATACGATATAATAAACATTCAAATAAACAAAAATTACACATGTTTAATTAAGAATAATCCATTTTGGCTTTACTCGCTTCTCTCCCACCTGTTGATATTTGGCGGGTAAGCAAGAGTTTTCCCGTTGCTCGGCATTCACAGTTGCTAGAAGCAAAAAAAACAAGCTCAACCCTCTTCGGACTTTTCCTAGATACAGGCATTTCAGCTTTTCAAATCAACAAACATTGTTGAACACGTCGGAACGAATACACAAACAAATATTTTTCATAGATTGCCTTATAGTTTTTCTTTTTTTGATTTGAAATTAACCGAAGAACGCAAAAGTCAGCAAGATGGACGAAATGGAAATTGCGAGTGTGGGTCAGTTCCAGACCCTGGTCCGGTACAATAATCCGGTGCTTGTTGTCAAGCACCCGGACAAGAAGGGCGGCCCGCTGACGGAGATGGAAATGAAGCGCCCACAAACAGCGGGTGCCCTTCTGGATACCAAGAAGGAGACAGAGGAGATATTGAACTCTATATTGCCTCCACGCTGCTGGGAAGAGGATGGCCAATTATGGCAGCAGTCCGTGTCCAGCACACCAGCCACTCGCCAAGATGTTATCAATTTACAGGAAATGCTCGACACTCGCCTGCAGCAAACACAGGCCCGCGAGACGGGCATCTGTCCCGTTCGCCGTGAGCTCTACTCTCAGTGCTTTGGTGAGCTATGCGCTGCATTTTCTTTTACAACTTCTCTAACAAACGCATTTCCTAGTACAGATGAGATTATACGTCAGGTAACTATCAATTGCTCGGAGCGCGGCTTACTCTTGTTGCGCATTCGTGACGAAATCGCAATGTCTATGGAAGCCTATGAAACACTTTACTGCAGCTCTGTGGCGTTTGGCATGCGGAAGGCTCTGCAGGCGCACGAAGAGAAGGAAATGCTCCGTGATCGTGTAAAGACTTTGGAGTCAGATAAGGAAGCACTGGAGGAAATAATTGCCGACATGAAAATGAAACAGGAGCAAGCCGAACGTCGCAATGCTGAACTGCGCGCCTCCGAGGAGAAGAAGTTCACCGAGGAGATCACATTCCTTAAGAAAACCAATGCGCAGCTCAAGGCCCAGCTGGAGGGCATTACGGCTCCGAAGAAGTAAAAGAACAGATTATGTGTGTGCGTATGTTTATATTTATCGCATATAACGAATTGTTAAAAATTATTGGAATTAAATGTATTGAGCAGCCGCTAAGAAGATTCCGGTTTAGTTTCACTAGTTTCCTGATCTGTAGTGGGTGTGTTAACCTCTTGGTCAGGCGCTTCCTGTTCTTGCTCCATTTCAGGCTCATCCACGTTGATCTCGTTAAGAATTGGTGTGGGCTTAAAAGCCTCTGACGCGTTTTTAGTAGTTTCTTTTGCTGCCCTTTTCTGTGGGGGCTCTTCATTCTCTTCAGTTGCATTTGTTGGCACTTCGTTATCATATTCATCCCCATCGTCAGTTGGCAGCTGGCGGCGCATTGCTTGCATTTCTTCCTCGGTGGGCAGCGTCTTCTTAAGGTGTTCCATTTTAGTCATATAAAGCTCATAGACAAATTGTGCCATCTCAGACATGTTTTCCACTGTTTTACAAATATCATCGGAGGCCGGTTCGCTGGTAAGTCGTTTTGTTGGATATTCCTCTGATGGCACCAGGCGCAACTTTAATGGGCGCTGCATGAGCTGTAATGAACATAGATTAGTTTTGGTGCCGAGCATTTCTTATTTGCTCCACTTACCAGCTTAAACGTTTGCTGCAATTCCAGGCAGTTCTTAAACAACGATATGCGTCCAAAGATATATAGTCCGAGACGTGCACGGCTCATGGCTACGACCAAACGCCGCACATCTCGCAAATGGCCAACAGCCTTAGTGCGCACAAGGGAAATTAGGATATAATCATTTTGCTGGCCCTGGTACTTGTCCACGGTTGTAATCTTATGTGGCCAACCAATGAGTGGATTGTTGCCGCATCGAGCATTAATAACATCGCGTATGAGATGCTTCTGGCCATTGTAGGTCGTCAGAATTGATATCTTCGCAGCTGGATAGCCAAGAAGACGCATGTACATGTAAAGTGCAACGATGTACTCAGCCTCAGCAAGATTCTGATTGGGGAAGTTTGGTTAGAAATATATAAGGAATATTAAATGTTATGTAGACCTACCTGATAGAAATAAGGATTCGGTTCACTTTCGCCCACACCCTTGAAATCATCCACGTTAATTAGCTGATAATCGTAGGCTAATCCCGTATTTGCGTTTTTGTACTCTTCACGTTCGAATATGTGTTGCAGATCTGCCAGTTTCTTGTAGCGCCATTTATACAATGAGCAAATGCTGGAACGCGCACGTCCCTGGCCATCTAAATCTACGGTGGGTACGCCCAATCGCACCAAACGTGTGAACAGACTCTGCTCCATGTTCGAGTATTTTTGGAACGCCATGTTCTTGATGACGGGCGGCAACTGGTGATGATCCCCAATCATAATCCAGCGTTTCAGGCGATTGAGACCGTCCAGCGGATTCTGCAGCAGTAGTGGTATAAATGTCTCTATTTCCAAGATTTGCGCCGATTCTTCCATCAAAATGTTGTCATATCGAAAGCCCAAATTTACAAGCTCTTTGCGTTTGAGCGCTGCATGCGTGCAAGTCATGGCAATGATTTTGGCCTCTTTAACAAGCAAATATTTAGAGCGATCTAAGCCTGTGCGCAGTAGCTCAAAGGCACGGAACTCCTCCAGTTCCGTAAATATGTCAGAGATATAGCGGAAGTTTGATTGGGCTATGCTCATAAGATCATCAAAGCTGTTTCCTTTAAAGAGTGGCTGTGGCGCATCGGCAAAGAACTTGGAAAACGGAAATTCAGCTTCGAACAGCGCTGACAGCTTGTCCATATCTGTTTCATTATTACGTGCCAGCATTTGGCTTTGAAACTTCTCCCAACGCGCCATCACATTATACAGGTAAAAGTAGCCCGCCGTCTCGCAGGTGTACGCGTTGTCGCCACTGACACCCAGTGCCTCCTGCAGTCGCTGAACTTGGGTGAGTAAGTCCATGCGCTTGGCCAGCACATAATTAACGCGACCATAGCGACTGTAGTCCTTCTCGGTTTCGAGCGCTTCCTCACCATGACCCAGACGTAGCAAATGCCGCTCATCAATATCAAGGGCCATAATCTTCTCGAACAGCTGATTCAAAGCCTGATTGGAGTGCGTTACAATTAGCGTACGTTGATTGGGCTGATTGTGGTAAATGTTTGAGATAATTTGCACGGCGACATCTGTTTTTCCCGTGCCAGGAGGTCCAACCACCAACGTAAGACCCGGCTGCATTCCAGCGCGTATCGCTTCGATCTGTGTAGGCGTAAAGCGTATGCTATTCCTAGAAAAGCAATATTTATTGAGATTTGTTCAGTACTAAGTTGCTTTTCACACTTACTGTTTGGGTTTGTCGCTTGGATAGGGACCTCTTGCCTCGTATTTATAAGGCTGCACCACAATTGACTTGGAGGTTACCGGCTGATCTGTTTGCATTTCCTCCGCATCACTGTCTCGCTGTTCAGCCACGTCCTCAAATATGAGACGATAGGGTGGTCGCCTGTTTTCCTCGGCTGCTTCGCACTTGAGGTCGTAATCGGGAAAGCTGGCTTTCAGGTGGTCATAGTCAAGAAAGGTGTCATTGAACTCGAGACAGCGTTCTTGATTAGGCATGTTGCTGTAGTGCGCCGCCGCAGGATCGCCGTAGCCTAGCAGTATATCGTGCAACCAGGGAGGTACCACACACTCTGTATTCATAAGATGACGAATGGTTTCCAGCACGGCTTTAAAATTGTTCTCTTTTGGCTTGCGACGCATAAAAATATTGAAGCTCTCATAAACATCGTCAGCTCCCTGCATAAGGAAAATCAGGATTAGGTATGATAAAGATTGGCTACTGGCAAATAATATTCTAATGTATACCTCTTGCAAGTCGTCCATGTCCATGCGATACTGATTCGAGTCCAGCCACACTCGATAGCTACGCTGTTCGCCCGGCAGTAGGGGCCGCGGTTCTGGTCCGTCCTCTATGACACGTCCGTTAGCGTCGAGCATGCCCTCCACTTCGCAGCCGCGCACGCTAACCAAACCCACTTGGGGTATGAACGGTTCCCTTGGATTGTACTTGGTACCGTAGGGCGTCGTGGGCTTGACAGTGATAAGGAAGCAGACGTCGTGTTTCCGCAGATTCTCCCATTCCTCCTTGATCTCCCGCCGCACTGAGAGTGTTACTCCTACATCAGCACGCACTCGCGATGGTTTCTTCTCGCCCAGATGCGGTTTGGCCACCTCGACCACAGCGAAGCTGGCGATAGGCAACGCCATGCGTGCCCAGCCACCAAAGACGACATCACCATCTTCTGACTGCCACGGTAGCATGCGACTAACGGCATCCTCAACATCTTGTCGTATCTCGTAGGTGGATTCCAGTCGAAACAGATTAAAGTTGCGGAGCAGATAATCGTGCAGCGTGAGGAACTGCAGATTTAGCTTGGGCAGAGCCAGACAAGTGTCCCCAGTGTAATACTCGGAAGGCACAACATTTTCGTCCCAAATTATCTGCTCTGTGGGATAGAGCGGCATCTCATTCAGCGCCTCCAGCTGCGAACATCGTTTCTCATGTCTCGTGATGAGCAACTCGCGCAGAAACTGTTCATCCAAGCGATGCCATTCGAATGGCTCCACCGCATCATCGGGCACAAGATTGAGAAAGGAGGCAATTTGCTTTAGCCCATCTGCATCCAATGCGCCAAAATGTTTCTCTAGCGAGTCACGAGTGTCCACTGTAGCAACATTGGACAACGCAAAGACGCGCAGCGTAGAGAACTTGGCAAACACCGCACGCTGCAGCGACGTAATCTTTTTATAGTGTAGTTGGGTCATGTCATGATCAGTTAAAGAGTTTCCCGTTACATCATTGATTTCGAAACGGGTGTAAAATTTAAGCATATCTAACAGCTATGGAGAAAAGTCAACAGAGAGTACATAATTAGATAAGCATTTTCAAATTTTTAAGACATTCTTACTAGCAGAAGAGAAACATAAATATATATTTTAATCAAGAACAAGCTACATAAAAAGTATTTTATTCCGTCAAATAATATGCGCAACCAATTGAACCGCTCCTGTATTGCTTCGCAATGCGTGCATTGAATGGAACGTATTTTTTACTACCACTACCTGTATTTACAACTCTACAAAGACACACACACAATCGCAGAGAAGCATCTAAAAATGCTCTCTTTGAGTCGCTAGCACTGGTAGCATGACGCTAGCGAGCGAGCTGGCTAAACTTCGGAGCCGGTCTGTAACAGTCGCTTAATTTTGCTACGTCATCCTTTTGGGCAATACGCTGTGAACTGAGAGAATTCGGAAAGTCTACAAACTGTCAACTTTAGCTTGACATTGGGAGAGTGGAAATTGGAGAACGGTAATTATACGAACAAGTGGACAAAAAGCGGTTTGTCCAAATTTGATGGGAGTCCTTATTAGGCTAGCAGAGGAACATGAAATGTGAAGGATATTTGAGAGACTTAAGGAAGCAACTTTTAATTCATAACAAAAACAATTATATCAAACTAAAATAAAGACAAGCACACACTTTAATAACTACTTTATATCAAGAAATCTGTTCTCTTCACAGTTTTTTTATTGGAACTGAAAAAATACGTTGTATTCGTGCATGTATGTTGGTGTGATATGAGAAGGGCTTCTCTTAGGAAGACATGTCCAAACACATTGGGGTCCCGCTTCGCCTTCTGCTTCCAACTGCTGACAAGTGGGATGTAATGAAAGACAAGGCACGCGTTTTCAATTGCAATGAGGGGTTGCTGCAGTTTCATTGTGTTGCGATGCCCAAAGATGCATACATACGAGCTCAGTAGATGAAGTGCTTCGGCGTCTTATCACATCATCACACGGCAGACAAACAAACAATAAACATACATATACATATTCAGACACACATTTGGAATTGCCGGTTCTTTGAGTCGCCTGTTTTACTCCAATTGATAATTTCCGTTCTTCAATTTAAACAAGGCAAAAGAAAAACAAACAGCCTGAGTTTGTGTGTTTGAGCGGGAGAGAAAGAGATTGACTCAAAGCCTTGCTTTAACGCTGGTTGTTGTACTTGGTGGTTGCTGTTGTGGAATGTAGAGAGCGGCACAGACGAAAAACGGGGGAAACGAACTCTACACTGAGTGAATGCCAACTTGTGCTGCTCTTTCAATCTGCTTGAGCTAGTGACTAGAAGTTAAGAGCACGAACCGACGCTCTCCACAGGCAGAGTGAGAGAGAGAGTCACATCCGATTCATATTCATATTCTCAGTCAGTCTCAGTCAGTTGTCGCTCGCAGCGGTTGGTTGTCTTTGGGAATTTGTGCGCTTGCTGTATAAATGCAAACAAAAATTGTTTAGCTAATAAGCAATATTATCTCGTGTATGTTCGGTATACTATGTGAAACGATCTGATACCTGTGGGTATAGCTTTAGTTGCATTTTATGCGGAAACCTTAAACGTGTACTGGACTTTACAAAGAAATAAAAGTGAAGAAAGAGAAACTAGCATGCAAGTCATGATCTTGGCTCGTAACCGGCATCAGCCACAGCTTTGATGACGCATTTGATTACGAGTTGAGTTCGAATACGTGTATCTGTGTCAGTGCCAGTGTCTGTGTCTGCGTCTGTAGGTGTCTCTGTAGGTGTGTCGGAGTTGAGCTGAGTATTTGTGCATGATGCTCGTATTTATGCTTGGCGCGCAAATTTTGCCCTACCTGGCGAGAGGCAGCTGCCTTCTGCTAGCCCTGCTGTCCACCCTACTAGCCGTTGCCGTATCCGCTCATGTGGCCAATAACAGCTCAATGCAAGCGGCAGTGCCAGCCGCTAACGATCCTAACCTGGTACTGGTGAACAAATGCTGTGAGAAGTTTGAGATACACGTCAACAATACGTGTCAGCAGGTCAACCAGACGGGTAAGTGTTGTCAAAAACTCAAGAGATCTGGATAGGAATACACCAAAACATTCGACCGTTGTCAAGGGCGACGCCAATCACAATTAGTTCAACTCGGCTGCCGGCTTGGTCATTCAACTTTATTGGATTTTTGGCTCTTGGCATGCAACATATGCCTAAACATAAATGCCACATTAGCTGGAAATCAATAGGGCAACGTAATGGGCGCTGTTAGCCAAGTCTTCTTCATACTTTTATAAGCAAACAGACTTAACATGATTTATGTTTTGTTGGTCGAATTTGCTTTGAAGTTTTTTAAGTTTGCTTAAAACGTATTATAATAATTATACAAAACAATTTGTTGGAGTCGAAGCCTAACTGTTGTAGTTGTCAGAAATCAGTTAAATATTTGTTTATTTACCTATTAGTATCAATCACTTTTCCTACAGAAAATTCCAATATATCAATTATAACCAGTCGGAGAAATACGAGGAACTTTATCAACAGTCGGATCAACAGCTATATCATGCAACATGATCAACTCCATAGATTAAAGTTAAATAAATTAACGCAACTTGCTGAAAATATTGCAAACTGTCTGAGCGTCAATTGATGCTGTTAATGTTGCTAAATAACTATGTGTGCACATGTAGCTGTATCTCCAACAGAATCTGGATTTCTGATGCCTCTGAGCACGTAAATATTTATAGACATGGAGTGCTTTATGATTGGCTTTGTTCGCCTGTGCCTGCCCATTGTTCGATTGATGCGCCCCGTTTCTTCTTCCTCTTCTTTAGCTTCTTCAATTAATGCAATCCGACGCTAATGCCTTATTCGTATATCTGTACTTGCTTTTTATAGACTATTTCGAGCCGATGTTCACCAGCTACAGTGGCGATCAGAACAGACCGGTGGCCCATTTTAAGTTCGTTATAGGCCTGCCCAACTGTGGCACTAAACAGATGTGGCCGGTTCTGGACTACACAGGCGTAAGCACAACTAAATGCAGCACAAGCGAATGGAATGGCACTGATTTATGATTCTCACTTACAGAGCTACGACAAGTTGGTCCTGTTAGATGACGGCAAACTGAGACACTATACAAATACGGAGGATAAGGCTGACGAGCAGCGCGGCGTGCAAACCGACTACGATGAAGATTTGGCTGAGGCGCATAAGCCGCGTTTCTATGACTATGAGCAGGGCCAATACTGCCTCGATAAGGTTTGTACTAAACACATTTCTAATATTGTGCTTCTTTGCCTCATATCGACAATTTTATCTTGCAGGCTATTTCGCCTCAACATAAACACAGCCTTTTCGCGCACATTTGTTTAGCCAAGAAGGAGAACAATTGGAATGACTCGAACTTCTTATTGCGCAAAATACTCAATCCACTATTCCATGGCATATCTCTGATTATCTTGCTTATCATCGCTATTGTCTATTTCATACTGCCCACGCTAAGGTGAGAACTGTTGCTGCATGTAGAGTACCATTTATAGTCAGTTATTAATTTATGTACTTGTTCCTTTTAGCAGAGATCTGGTTGGAAATATAGTGACTACGATAGCAATGTGCCTGATGGTCAGTCAGGCGGCAGACCTGGTCTGCATATTTACAGACTTCACCAATCACGTCAGCTTCATTGTGGCTGACATAATACTGTGGTTCAGCCTGTTGGCCGCATTCTTCTGGCTGAATAGTTTCGGCTATTACATATGGAAAACATTTCGGTCGAGGAATGTCTTTTTACGCGTCACCGATGGGCGTAAATATTGTTATTACTCGGTCTATGCCTGGGGCTGCACAGCCACAATGGCTGTGCTAGCAGTCTTTGCCCACTTCTTTCTAGACGCAGACTCGTACAAGAAAGAGAACATGCGCGGCGAGCAGCAAACAATTGGCTGGCTTGGAATTTGCATTTTCTTTGCGCCCATTGCATGCACCATTATAGTAAACATCTTCTTTTATGTGACCACACGGAAGCTGATCAATCGTCGCACCGTCTACGGACGAATTGCACACAAGCTGAAGGCCAAGTGAGTTGATTATAGTAGGTCGTCCATGTCGGTATTGAATAAATTTAATTGTTTTGCAGCTTTATTATGTTCTTCCTAATGCTGTTAGTGATGTCATTTGCTTGGCTGTTTCTGACCATGTCATGGCTTGCTTTGGACGGTCTAGTCTATGCACACATCATAGTGAATGCATTCCAGGCGCCCCTGTTGCTCTATATATGCGTGCTAAGGCAGCGCCACGTGACTTATCTGTTGAAGAAGTCTTGCTGCTACAATGAGCCGCCATCGGCGAATGATTGGGGTGATGAAATGCACTATATGAATGGAAACGAATATTGAAAGCCCACCATCCAAGCTCGTAAGCCAAGTTATAGTTGAGTCTGGGCCTTAGTCTATCATCAACTAATTGTAAGAACTACTCGTAGCTATGCTAAGTGTTTTTGTAGTTTAACACAATGTAAAACATTGAGAATTGTACTTAAAGCTAATTTATACAAGAAGAAATTAAACAAAGTCTGATACATACCTGACAAAACAGTTTGCCCTCTTCCCGCTGCATCAACGGACTCATCATTGCCCGTACAATCAGATGGCAGTCATCCAGCACGGTATTAAAGAAGCGACGCGTGGGCAACAGAGCTTCCAAATCGATGATGAACTCCAAAAAGCGCTCGCAGTAATGAACTACATTACTATTGAGTTCACCTTCCGAAGGAATCCGTTCCAATATATGCAAAAAGTCTATGATTAGATTCTGCATAAAGTGACGTTCCCACATCACATCGGGCTTGGCATTATCCTTTTCCTTCTTCAGCAGGCGTTTCCAGTATTTACGCCATTCAGGCACCTCCCGCAGCTCTTGTTCGCGACGACCTAAAAATTAAATATGTATATACATTTAGATATATAATTATACTCAGATGGTTTTTATACTCACGCGGTTGCAGGCAATGCCACATTGACAGGGAGACGAGGCGCTTTGCTTGTTCGCGACACAGCTCGATTTCCATGCTGTTGAAACAGTGATTCAGAAACATTAGCAATGCCGTCCGTTCGCGCAATGTGCTCCTATTTTGCTTTGAAGTTTGGTCGGGCAAACAGCTCTCCAGCACGTGGCGAAAGAATCCAGGGTACTCTTCCGGCAACTGCTGGAACACATTCCAAACTTCGACGCGCTCACGAAACTTTTCATTAGACATGATCACGATAGACATTAAGTGTGCATGTGTAGCCGACTCGCGCTTGTAATTGGGCCACAAATACTGCTCCAGGTACTGGCTGAATTCCAGCATATTAATACGACGTGCGCTGCCCTTTCCACTCGTTATTTCGTCAGCATATATGCGCTCTATGATTTCAGCATTATATGGCAGATGTTTGGCCTTGGATTCGGGAGACCAGTACTGCGATGCTAGCTAAAACAGCATTAAAGTAGCTTAATAGTTCCTAAACGTTTACGTTTTGCAAAGTACCCACCTGCCAAATAACATCAGAGCTGAACTGATCTAAGGTGAGTGCACCCGCCTTTTCCTTGACCTTCTTGTCTGCTTCCTTGGTCGCCAGCGCTTTTGTTTGACTGCGGCGTTTCATTTTGACGCTTATAAATTATACAAAACTAAAAACAGTTTAGACAAATTGCACCAAAACAAACGCCGGCTGCATACAGTATGACCGTATGCAGCAAGCAATAAAATACCATATAAAAAAATAAATTTTGCATGCAGCCCTGGCCATTAAATTAATTTAATTGGCAACGTGTTGTCATGAATAGAGTCATGTGAAAAATCAACCAGAAAAATACGCATAACATGTCTCATGTGACTTTATTTCAATCGAATTTTAATAGAATTTACTTCGCTTTACAGATCAACCTTCAGCGTGTCTGGGTTCAAATGCATTATCGATAATAATAAAATAGGGTGGCAACACCTTGCCGTTTGCCGAATATTTTTTATACAAACATAGTTTTAGAGTCATAGTGTAAGCGCCGACACCATGTCCCAGCCGATGCCGCCAGAAAATATAAATGTAAGTACTAATGCTTATTTAGTCGTGGTTTATTAATAAAACACATGAGTGCATTTCTAGAGTCACATACTGGCAGTGCTCCGCTTGCCTCTGCTAGATAAACTGTCGCAATTGGAGATATTATTCGATCGGTGCACCATTCGCCAAATTCAAGATATTTATCCGCTCATTGTGCACTCGATATTTGGAATTAATGGTAATCCACTGGGCTGGGGATTGAGGATAACAACATTGGAGAATGCGGCGCATACTTACAACAGACTACATCAGTTTTTTGCTGTGAACGGTATTTGGATGCACATTTGCCACCGGCTGCTAAATGAAACAACAAAATTTGATATAGATATTAATTTACTGCCGGTAGGCTTTCCATTAAAAACAATTTATTATACTAAATATTCTATTAATATTCTCCTCCATATTCACAGCGTAAATTCATTAGCATGCTGCAAGGCGGTCCTATGTTCTATTCCGATCTCATCAACATCGATCCCTTGAAGCATCAGCTGAGCACGCTCTCCCTCAACGCTTTCGATTTCTACATGCTGCACTTTGTGCTATATGCGTTGCAACCTCTGCACACCATTAATCCAATTGCCATGCAGATTCACAGCGAAAGGACTAAGACAGTCTATCAGCTGCTTGTTGCTGAGTATCTGGATAACTTTTTGCCACAATATCCGAATGCCAACATAGAACCATCGAATTATGTGAGCAGCGTCAAGGCACCTCAACAGTTGCCAGCACAGTCGCTGCAGCCGTTGCGGCAGCTGCGTTATCTTAAGTTGCCCAGCTCGTATCGCAATGGGAATGGAGAGGCGGGCGGAGTAGCGGCAGCTAGCACGTCGCCTCAGTCTTCGGCGGATGGTAATGCGACTGCTAGTCGAGTCTACACTTGGCGCTCTGAGTCTGTGGTACACTTCTTCATTGATATTTGGTTGCGTTACGACATCGAATCGGAGCACCATTTGCCCAGCAGCGAATTTGTGAGGGGTGTTCGAACACTGGTTAAGCAAATACACTTCTTCCACAATGCTGCGCGTATGGATCACAGTCCGCTCTGCGCGCTCAGAAAATTATCCCTGACTATGGTTAAGGGGCGCATCTATGCCTTCCTCTGTAGTTTGATCGATCGTTGGCCACTGGACAGCTCGTTAAGTGTTGTCTTGGAGCTCTGGCTGAGCTACATTCAACCATGGCGCTACACTATGGGCGCCAGCAATCGAACGTGAGTGCTAGACAGCCTTCAACTAGTGTTAATTACATTGCTATAATTCTTTGTCTTTCTCTTGTAGCTTGGGCATAAATTACGAGCCACCTATTACGACTTTCTTTGACGGGTTCATTATAGACAATCTGATTGTGTATACGCACATCTTTATGCAGTTGTTGCCTCGATTTGAACGGCTTGATTACTCGGTTTATCGCAATGCTTATATGCTGCATCGCCTAGCTAAAACGTTTGCGCAGCAGGACTTGGTTGAGCGACTGCAACGTTTCGAGCGTTTGCACTCGGGCAATGCTTATGGCTTTGATTCACCTCAGCGTCAGGTTAATATGTTAAAGTAAGTTTGATTTGCAAATACCTTTTGGTGGAACTGGAAACATGTGCTATTCATTTCAATTGCAGCAAATCACACAACAACTCCTACAATGCACAATGGAATCCCTTAGTGAGCTCCAATATACCAAAGCTGTTTAGTGAGCATATGCATTCGAAAATTCAGAGCTTTTTGTTTGGCATCAGCATGGCGCGAAACTCTGTCCTGACAAACATAATTAGTGCGCTGCGTAAGGAAATATTAGACCGACAACGCTCGGAGGGCTATCTGAGAAACCTATTAAAGAAGATCCTTGGCGAGACAACCCAGGATGAGTTAACGCTACGCGATTTGAGTCGCATACCCGAGGTGCTACGTCAATGTATAGATGCATTCTGTCGCACTTTCAATGTAAGTATCTGCACTTGAAGTGTTTCTTAAAGTAACTCTTTATGTTTGCACAGGTGGATCCGGGCACATTGTCTATGCATGAAACACTGCCTGCGGAACCGGTTCCTCTGGCTTCACCATCGTTGCAGAATTTCAGCTTTTTCGATTCGAATGATTGTTTAGATACTTCGATGCTGTCTCCGCATCAAATGTCCCTGAATGCCTCAAACTTACAGCCCACAGTCGATCCTGCGCTGCTGCCCATTAAGTCAAATGAGATAAAACCGCTGGTAAGACTGCTGCACCATATATCGGAAGCCATCAACGATAAAGTGAGTTTCCAATACATATATTGTGTATATCTCAACTGATGCTAATTTGTTTAAAATTCCGTTTAGTATGGCAGCCGTATAGAAGCTTTTTACGAGCGTGACGACTTTTATGGAAAGCTCTCGCGTCAAGTTCTGTACGCTCCCATGACGGAGAAGTGGTTCGAAAAAAGCGATGGCAACGTAGATATTTGCGAGAAGCAACTGCCCCCGCGTGTCAGTCTACGGCCACTGGGCTCCGTACCCTCAATTTGTTTGATCGCATTTGCATTGTGCTTCGGACACTTGTGGTGCGGTGTGGCTAGTGTTGGCCTGTTGCTCCTTTGTGCTGTGTTCTTTATTTACTGCATGCTTTTGGCATTATTGTCATAAGTAATTTATATATTTTTGATATAAAATCAATATTTTCATAAAACTAAAATTAAATTGTTTCTTTAATTCGTTTTAAATATTTTCCACATCTCGAGCCTTGCAGATTGGACTGAAATATTGTGAGCTTATCACACAGGAAAAACGCAACAGGAATAACTTAATTTAACCTATTTATCTATCACATCATCACAGATTGGTCGTGTGCTTTTTAAATGTTTAGAGTATTCGCTGTCTTATCACATTTAAGAAATAAAGATTAATCTTGTATTTTTGTTAGGTCAAGTATGCATTGTTACTATTCCATAAGGAATGTAATGCCGGCAAATCGTTTGAATTAACTTCGTTTTTCTAAAATAATTCAATTAGCCAATGTACAATGGCAATTTATAGTAAATTGTTCAATTAGAGTATACTATTACGGTAAATTGACTCATCTCTGAGTTTTCAATTTTTGCACATATAAAATTCTTTTCCATATAGATTTATAAATAAAATTTTGCGCTAGCCGAGTTCAAAAACTGCTATAAAGTTTATACTTAATCTTCTTGGAATGTATTTATTTGTAAGGGATGGGTGTTTCTTGCATTATTTTGTTTATACAACAATATGTGCATAAATAATTTTATATCAGCTTGCCTCGAAATGGATTGATGCATAACGCTCCACACGGCTGACCGAATATATACATAAATATGTGCACTCATCGGTCAGTTGATTGTTCACTTTGGAAAGCGAAGGACGTGCTCCAGAAAATACAGAGTGTAGATTATTCGTGTAGTGCACAGCACTTAGAACATGCTGGTAGATTATATTAAATTGCATTTATGGTCAAGAGATTGTGGAATTTACACATTTAGAAGGCACGATAAGATAATTTTGGCGTATAATTGTAAATAAATGACACGACGTCTCAATGTTTTCAGCGCGATTTAAACGATCGGACGTGGACGTGCACGATCCAATGCTAAAATGGATTGTAGTGCCAAACCGAAGCGGAAAAATCCATGTGAGGAAGCCAGCATTCTATCTCATCTAACATTCGCTTGGGCCGTGCCGTTATTGCTACGTGGATCACGAAAAGGTCTCAATGCAGACGATCTAACACAGTGCCTGAAGGAAGATCACTCCGAGCAGCTGGGTAATCGACTGGAGCAGTGAGTATTAGTAATTATAATGGAAATACTTTCATCAATTCCACTATTCTCGCTTGCAGTGAATGGTATAGGGAAGTAGCGACTGCTCAAAGAAAGTCAAGAAACCCTGAACTTCGAAATGCTTTGCTGCGATGTTTCTGGACCCCATTTATTATCAATGGAATTCTGTGCGTCATATACATTGCACTCAAGTGGGTGATTATGTTTACTCAGAGCTGAATCATTTAAGAATGCGTATATCCTTTAGAATGCTGATAGCTGCAATTTTAGCTCAGCTCCTGCTGCAGTTGCAACAAACAACAAAAACTGCCAGCTATAAATCTATAAGTGAACCGGGCGAATTGCTTAATAATAGTTCGTTGGGTAGTGCCAACATATCCCTGCCCGCAAATGTTCTCAATGGTGAGTCAGAATATTCACGCATTTCATTTGCTTAATATTTGATATCTTAGTAGCTAACAACTCCACCGAGACTTTGTTCTACGGCATATGGAAGGGCATTTGGTGCAACGCGTACAGTCTTGGTGGATTATTGGTGGTCATAAATTTCATCTCTTGCATTCTGTGGCATCATCTGTATTTGCGCCAACGTCTGATGGGAGCTCGAATGAGAATTGGCTGTTGTTCGCTGGTCTATCGGAAGACTCTCCGTCTCTCTATGCGCACTGTGGGCGGCACGCCAGCTGGTCATCTAATCAATCTCATTTCGAATGATGTAAGTCGACTAGACTATGCTTTGGTCTTTGCGCATTACATTTGGATCTTGCCCATCCACGCGGTGGTCACCTGCTACATTGTGTGGCTCCAAGTTGGAGTTCCAGCTCTCGTGGGAGTTCTAGGACTGCTGCTGAAGACCGTGCCAGTGCAGATGGCATTGAGCAAGTTGACTGCAGCTCTACGGAAACGCATTGCACAGCGGACAGATGTGCGGGTGGCAATAATGAACGAGCTTATGCAAGGCATTCAAGTGATTAAAATGTATGCTTGGGAGAACTCCTTTGAAACCGTGGTGTCTGATGCAAGGCGCAGTGAAGTGCAGCAGCTGCGATATGCCAACTATCTGTATGGCTTTCAGCGCACAACCAGGTTTTTCATACAACGTACAACTTTATTTCTGACCCTGGCTGCAGCCGTCCTTATGGGTCAGAGCGTTACGGCGGATTTTGTGTTCTCCGTTGTCATTTACTACAACACACTTCAACTTGTGGCCGCCGTTTACTTTCCCCTCGCCATTAACTTGCGAGCCGAGGCTTTGGTGTCTATAGCTCGTGTGCAGACATTTTTGCTGCAGGAGGAACGTGAAAAAGTTTTGCCAAGCCCTGAACAAGATGGAGTAGCAAAGGATATCCTTGCACTAAAGAACATTAATGCGAGCTGGGACAAGGGGAAGCTTCAGGTCACGCTTAAGAACGTTAATTTGACCATCAAAAAGGGACAGCTTTGTGCCATCATAGGCTCCGTTGGATCAGGGAAGAGTTCTCTACTCCACTTACTTCTAAGAGAGCTGCCAATCATTGATGGCGATCTCATTCTGCACGAGGAGCTCTCGTATGCATCTCAGGAGCCTTGGCTCTTCAGTGAAACGGTGCGAAACAATATTCTCTTTGGCGAGCAGTACGATCAAAAACGATATCTGGATGTAACCAGGGCCTGTGCGCTGATCACAGATTTTCAGCAGCTACAAGACGGGGACCAGACTGTTCTAGGAGATCGTGGAGCTTCGCTATCTGGTGGGCAACGAGCTCGCATTAGTCTGGCACGTGCAGTCTACAAGAAAGCATCCATTTACCTTCTAGATGATCCTTTGAGTGCTGTAGATGCGCATGTTGGACGACATCTCTTCGACGAGGTGATTGGACCACGTGGCAGACTGGCTCAGCAGAAGGCCACCCGTGTTCTGGTAACTCATCAGGTGCACTTTCTCTCAGAAGCCGATTGGATTGTCATAGTGGAACAAGGCCAAATCGTGGAGCAGGGCACGTACCAGGATATCATCAATAGCGATGTGGATTTTGCCAAATTGCTAGAAGTCCCTGCCAAAACTGAAGATATGATCGCTGAAAAGCAATTCCATGCTCCTCTACCCAATGAAGTTGAAGATCACGATGAAGACGAGGATATTGACGAGGACTCGGATGGTTTGATGCCTTTGAAAAAACTGCGGGCGAGCGATAACAAACTATGCAAAACGATCGTGAGTTTTACGTTAACTTGTTAATCGTTCAGAAATAATAATTCAACCTTTTAGGCTGAAAGTGCCAGACAGCAGACAGTCGTTGAAAAGGATAATGGCCGAGCCGAGACCCAGGCAACGGGAGGGGTATCCGCACGTGTCTGCTTCGAATACTTCCAAGCGGGCAGCTCGTTGTTAAGCTTTAGCTTCATGGTGTCCATCATGTTGCTATCGCAAATGGTTTGCAGTGGCTCTGACTACTTTTCGAACATCTGGACGCAGCAGGAGCATCTGCGATCTCAAAGCGAGCCCACGAGTCTAACCACCTATGAGTGCATGTACATCTATGGATGTCTTATTCTCGGTGTGGTATTTATGACTACCTTCCGTGGTTTCCTATTTCTGAAGACATGCATGCACGCTTCCAAAGTCTTGCACGACCGAATGTTCCGATGCATTTTGCATGCGACCATGAGATTCTTTCATAGTAACACCTCGGGCCGCATACTCAATCGCTTCTCAAAGGACATTGGCACCATGGACGAATGGCTGCCCCGAAATATGCTGGAGTTCATACAACATGGCCTGGTTATACTTGGTATATTGGCCTTAATTGTTGTTGTCAACCCCATGCTATGCCCCGCTGTGATTATTGTCACTGTTCTGGATCTGCTCATACTAAAAGTCTATTTGCGGCCATCGCAGGATCTGAAGCGCATGGAGGGGATTTGTCGCAGTCCCGTGTTTTCTTATCTGACCTCAACTCTGTCCGGCATTTCAATCATACGCTCACGTCAGATGCAAAGCACAGCTATCAAGGAATTCGATCTACTGCAGGATGTGCACAGCGCCGTTTGGCAGCTGGCTGAGTCCACAAACACGGCTCTTGGACTGTGGGTGGATACAATCAATTCTGTATTTCTCGCAGCTGTTACATTCAGCTTTATTGTTCTCAGCAAAGGTAACACAGCCGGAGTAGTAAGCTTCAAGAAATAACCTTAAGGAATACTCCATTTTCAGCTACTTACAGCGGCAATGTTGGTCTGGCCATCTCTCAAGCCATTCTCCTCTCAGGCATGGTCCAGTATTGCGTACGACAGTTCGCCGAGTCACTCCAACAAATGACAAGTGTAGAACGTGTATTGGAGTACACGGAATTGGAGCAGGAGCAGTCCGCGGCCACTGATAGCAATGAACTTTCTCAACAATGGCCGCAGCACGGAAAGGTTGAATTCCGAGACATGAGCTTACGTTATGAACCCAATGGCTCCGCTGTCCTCAAACATCTCAGTTTAACTATTGAGCCAGGCTGGAAGGTCGGAATCGTGGGACGTACTGGCGCAGGAAAGTCCTCGCTTATTGGCGCTCTCTTTCGTCTGGCATACATTGAGGGTGATATCTACATTGATGACATCGAAACAGGCAGCATATCGTTGGAGACGCTGCGTACTCGCATTTCTATTATACCACAAGATCCAGTCCTATTCTCGGCCACCATTCGGTATAATCTGGATCCATTTGATCGGTACAGCGACTTGAAGTTGTGGTCTGCCCTCGAAGATGTAGAGTTGCGAGAAGTGATTCCTGGTCTGGATTTTATGGTCACCGAGCGCGGCAGCAATTTCAGTGTGGGTCAACGACAACTCCTTTGCTTGGCCCGAGCGATCCTGCGGAACAATAAGGTGCTAGTGCTGGATGAAGCAACGGCAAATGTGGATCTCCTGTAAATATCTTTCAATCATGCTCAAGTCCAAAGTTAAAAAATCCCTCGTCTTTCTAGAACCGATTCTTTGATACAGCGCACGATCCGGGATAAGTTTCAGAGCTGTACAGTGTTGACTGTGGCACACAGACTGCACACAGTCATGGATTCGGATCGTATTGTAATAATGGAGGCCGGTAATGCAGTGGAATTTGATGTACCACACGCGCTGCTACAGAAACCACACGGAGTACTTACACAGATGGTTGAGGCCACCGGCGGCGAGGCTGATACACTGCGACAGTTGGCCAGTAAATCATTCCAGGAAATGCTGCAGCCAGGTGGCAGGAAGGGAACGGATGAGAGACAGTTGCTGAAACTGCTGGAACGTACTGCGGGAATTCTCGTTGACAAGCAAGTGCCATCTTAGCGACTCCAAGTCCAAATATATATGTATATATACACACAAATATATATAGTCTTTGTTTTACTACTAAGCGAAAGATAAATTATAAATCAGGTTACAATGATGTGTGCTAACTACATATGGGCAACGGCTTAAGTAAATGTCCCTCACGCGCGTGTGTGTATTATATAGGAAGAATGTTATAAATGATCTCTAATAGATATCAGAGTGGTGGCATGTTGGATTTGAGCGTCAGGGCCAGACGTAACGTCTGATTGGGCACTGTAACCATGCGTAGGATGCAGTCCACTGGCTGTTCATTGAGGCACTGCATGTTGAACTGCGAAGCGCACTTGCCCAAGAGCAAGTGCAGCTGCTTCAGAGCAACACGACGTCCGATGCAGGAGCGCTGGCCAATGGCAAAAGGCAGGGTGCCATGGGGCTGGTGCACTTGCTCCTTCTGCCCCAGTATCCAGCGTTCGGGCAGAACTTTGAGCGGTTGCTCAAAATGTGATGGATCTCGACCAGACGTGTACAGAGAGATGAGCACAAGGGTCTGCAAAGGAATACAAATGTTGACGCTTCATTAAATTTTATAGCATATAAAGTGTATGCGAGCAACTGACGTCTTTTTCTATGTAATGGCCACCAATTTGTGCATCCTGTGGCATGTAGCGACCAATGAATGGTGCAACTGGGTATAACCGTAGTGTTTCCTTGATCAAGCCATGCAACAGCTGCGATTCAGATGCAGCTCGTTCTTGGGCGATGCGACGTTGTAGCAGCCGATCACAGGAGAGCACATACAGAGCCCACTGACTGCTGAAGGCGGTCTGTAGGGAATTGATAGGGAATTATTGTAACCAGAGAGAAGTTAAGCTGCTCAGCTGCAGACCGTGTCACCTGCTGCTATGACCAGATCCACAAATATTCGCTTGATCATCTCGCTGGGCACAGTCGCCGCCTGCAGCTTGTGATATAATGCCTCCTCCTGCTCTGACTGCGGCTGCTCTCGCTGTAAGCTAATGCATAGCTCAATAATGGATGCACCCTGTTTCAACACCTCTCCCACATTGTTCTCAAAGTCCCTCCAGATGCGCAGGTGCAGCATTTGTGCCAACCTGGGAGGAAAGTTCATCAGCTGCGAGCTATGTTTGAAAACCTTGTGAACGATTTGTGTAAATTCATCCAGGGCGCATTGCATTTGAGGGCAGGTCAAAACTCTAGAGCCGAACATGATGCTGCAGAGCACTGAAGGATTCAACTTTGGTTAGCGATGAGTTGTCGAATGAATTGTTTTCTTACCTCACCTTCGATAGACCAACGATACAACTGCCTTTCTAGATCTGGCAGTTCGTAATGTTTTTCATCTGCTGCTGTCTGCTCTGTGTTCGTTTGCCATCTGTCCACCAACTGCCGCGTACAGTTCTCAATATGGACGTCCATCCAATTCAAATTACCATTGAGCAGCAGCCGATTAAGTATACGCCTATTGTGCAGCCACTCAGCGCCCTCCCTGCTCAAATTAGAAATTCCCGAAGCGAATTTTGAATGTGATTTGCAATTCATTTTATGCGCCACTTACATAAAGAAGAGTCCACGTTGGCAGTCATGTCGCTTGTTGTAGTACGTCCAGGCATCCGGCAGCGGATGCTGTGGATATTGACCCTCTTGCAGAAAGAGACTGCGCATTAGATTTGCCGACGATACGAACACTGCATCCTGTGTGCCGCCCAATCTTTCGCGAAAGATAGCTCCGTATTGACGATGTCGCGCATCCACATATTTGTGGAGGCTTTAAAGAAAATGTTTTCAGATAGCTGATGTTTAACTCAACCACATCTTCAAACTTACTGCGGTGCTCCGCCGGATGCTATCAAATCGAACAGTGTACCCACAATAGGCAATCCCTTGACGCGTGGTATTGGCACATATTTGGGCACAATCTGTAGGCTTGGGCTTGGGTAGTTGGTTTGCAGCTCGGCTTTAAAGTGCGACACAATGCGCAACAGCAATGTCCTGAGCAGCTGCACAGCCCAACGCAGCAGACCGCCGCGGCACAGCATCTGCTTGGTCATCTTCTATAAGCCAAATCAGGTCAAGGGACACTCCGGCACACCCAGCTGGCAGACAGGCAGCGAAATACTCGTAGTGCCTGTACGATTATCTCCCACGAATTTCGAGACCAACTCACCACGGAACGACAAGGGCAAGGCCAGTCACAGAACTGAATCGACATGCTGCCCGGCTTGTGCCTTATAACCGATAACGGTCAAAAATGCGAAGAGCAAAGACGAAGACGAAGAGGCCGTTTGTGAGCACGCAAAGGCGCGATAAGATCAACGGCACCTTGGTTGCAATGCTTGGCAAAATTGCTTAACTACCTGCCTCTATTATCTGACAGATACTTGCCGCTTATTTGGCCGTCCCTCAGGCCAGTGTGCCTTAATAGTATGCGCAAATCCAATAAACGAAACTCCAACGAAAGTAGACGCTGAGTGGACTGAAAATGCGTTCGGCTTCGATATTGCTGGCCATGCAAATTGTGTAGAGCGGCCGAAGATTCGGTTTTCGGTAATCGTTCAAGCGTTGCAAGCATTATAAGCATACAATTCGGTGCTTCCTCCTACTTCTTTAAAATGTAACGTTCCTCCAAGTTTGGACGTTCTTCTGTTCTCTTTGAGAATTGTTTTGGTTTTGCATAAATGTACATACATTCATTTGTATATGTATAAAGCTAAAAATCATTCAAACCATTGATCAAATCCTATTGATGACGGAAAACTTTAAGATGTTTAAGGAGTTTGAGAATAAAATTTATTTAAGGATTTTAGTAATATATATTAATGTTATAAATGCAGAATTTGAAAATTCTGTATTCTTTGAATCTCTATTATCCTTGGGAATTTTTTTTAATTTTTTTAACATATTAAAAAATATTAAAACTTAATTTATGTAAAATGTGAGGGCTGAGAAATCAAGAAAAAAATATATACGAATCTATTTATATACATATGTAAATTCTATTTTAGATTTTTAATGTAAGGTAATTAATTTAACAGACCATATTTTAATTATGGAATATCAAACTTTGCATAACACACTTTTGTTGGCATGTGTACTTTAAAATTTCATGTTATTTAACGATAAGACTCTCTCTTTGCGAACCGATTGCTTAGCAAGCCAACACGCTTATGCTCTCTCTGGCGGGAATTAGTTGAATGGTTCGTTCCATTCAGTTGCAGTTATTCATTCTCAGTTACAATCGAGCTGTGCGGCGCGTCGGTTTTCGAATTGGCGGTTGAGCGAGTCGGCGGGTCGCTAGTTCACTTGTCGGAGCTCAGTGGTTGGTGAAATTCGTTAACGTATTACAACATCGAAAGCCTCAAGTTGTTCATAATTAGAAGAGTAAAACAAGTGCAAATTATTTCTAATCGAAATAAATAAAACATTGTGATAAAAGTAAAATATTGTATATATTTGCATAACTCAAGCAGGGTATGTGAACGCATAAAGTAATATTCTAAATGTATGTACGTATGCTTGTATGTGTGTGTTCAAATATTCACACAACCATTCATTTACCTAATACTATGCACGTTATGGTATTTTTAGGCACTTTGAATTCGGTCAATGGCCAGCAACCCTCCGTTTAGGGGCATGGCAGTGAATAGCCTTTAGTATGCAGCTGCACAGGTCTTGGCCATTAACTAGCAGCCACTTGCCGGCTTGTTGCTTTACGTCTAAATAAACGATATTATTATTTGCCAGATTACATGTGGTAATATGTGTATATGCATGTATATGTATATGCAAGCATGTATTCCTCTGTCTAGACTTCTAGATATGCCGGTCTAAAGTAAATACAAGCACACCATATGAATGTTTGTACCTGAGTGCACTTATAGTTTTTACTTTTTACAGGCAAAATTAATCACGTATCGCAATCTGCGGTACATATTTTGTTATTGCAATTATTTATTATTCGAGCAACAGTTAGACAGATTTGTTCAAACAACTGTTGATATCAAGAGCGAAAATGTGCGCGAGAGTGTGATAGAGAGAGTAAGAGAGAGTGGACAAAGAGAGAGGAAGTGGTGAAATTTTCGCATTTGGCATATTTCAAAGTCGAATTTGGTGAATATGTATTTTTTACAGACCACTTCGTATCATTGAAAATAGTGGTAATATTAAATACATTTTGTATATCAATATTAGTTTAGTAAAAATATTGGATATTTTCTCAGTTAAATAAAATATACCCTTTAATTCTAAAATATGAAAATGAATTTAATATGTTGTACTCATTGACAGATGTTTATATTGGTTAAAAGTTTGCATTATACATTGATATATTTATATGATAATATTTTTGTTATATTTCAAGGATATTGAATACTTATTTTCTATATAGAAACTACTAATAGCTGTTCGAATACTTGGCATTACGATATACGTATATGTTTTGTATCTTTGTATATATATATATGTATATGTTGATTTTTACAATAGTGTCGTGACAACATTTTTATTAATTGATTGCTCTGGGGAGAACAATTTGTTTATAGACATGTTGACCCCATTATTCAATTCCAATAAAACTTGAAACACTGTCAACCCTTAACTTTATATATCTACATATATAATACATATAATTAATTTATATAAAGGGATAGTAGTCATCTATTGCAGACGGGCACATAGAGACCATTTTAATAAACGGATATAAAGTAGAGAGACACGTAATTTGTTTTTTTTTTGCTGAATCTTTAAAACTTTACAGCCGGTTATTAAGATCTGTACATACAGATATGTATATATATATATATATATATATATATATATATATATATATATATATATATATATATATATATATATATATATATATATATATATATATATATATATATATATATACGCGTTATGTTATGTTCAATGTTAGTTAAACTCTTCATTAATTGGGTCATAGACATTAAAAAGCTTATCCCAAATACATGTCTTATGTCTGGCTGATATGTACAGCAATTAATAAAAATTATTATTATTGTCATAAGAATTGCGAAATTGTCAACGTCGCTCTAGAAGCTATTTGATTTACGCACAAATGTCTCATGTTATCAAATGCAGACACCACATATATAAACAATTAAGTGAACGACCGATACGAGTGTATGTCAATGCATTAAGTCAATATAACAGTATCCACTTCACCAACATCAGTCTTCATATACCATTTTTATTTACCTCGTTGTGTCTATATGTATATGTTACTTGCATATACTTGTTCTTAGACAATCGTAATAAAAACTTGGCAGTTGCAAAAAATAATTCGTAATATGATCTATAGCTTGATAAAACTGTTTTTACAGCTCTTGACTCCTTCAATTTCTAATGATTAATTATAAAATATATCTTTTCATACTCGGTCATTATGTAATATAGCTGTTTTTGAAGTGTGAATGTGTATGTTTTTATTGTTAAAATAAATTCTTAATTAATTAAGATTTTAATCTATATATACAATATATGTTTTGAAAAGTTTTTCAATATTATTCCAGTAGATGTCATGATTTATGCCTATAGCAAATAGGGCAACACCTGATTTATATATAGATATGGTTTTTATATGATATACAAAAACCTTTATTTATAAAGATCACACTAAATATATTTGTTGAGTGAGAGTCAAGTCAGACTAATTAGGTACTAATGTTCAGACAAGCAGCTTACAGATATATATGCATGCACAAAGAAGTAGAGCAAATTCAGTACAAGGTCGCCAGCTGTGCCTGGGACTGTGGACATGATAATGCGAAGAGATAAGGAGCCATTTCGTAAAGTCACGATTTTACTGTAGTTTATTGCCGGGCTTGATTGAATGTATGTGACCAACCGGGTGGATGTCGTACCCAAAGATTGTTTTGCCCGCTTATCATCAGGGAAATTTATTAGATTGCTATATTTTTCTCGACAATAGGTAGCATACAGCGCTTCCATGAAAGAATGGATAGTAGTGCCAAGCCGGAACGCAAGAATCCCCGTCAAGGGGCGAATTATCTTTCCCAACTGATATTTGCCTGGGCAGTGCCTTTGCTGTATCGCGGATCACGAAAGGGATTGAACACAGAAGATCTGACGCAATGCCTCAAGGAGGATCATTCGGAGCAGCTAGGTGATCGGCTAGAGGAGTAAGTAAATATAGTTCCCTGTTGAAATCATAATTTCTATCAACTATTTGTAACAGTGAATGGTACAAGGAGCTGGAGCGCGCCCATCGCAAGTCTAAGAAGCCTCACCTACGCAATGCTTTGTTTCGTTGTTTCCAGGGACCCACGATAGTCAACGGCCTAATATGTCTTGTCTATATAGTCATGAAGTAAGAGTGTTGCAGTTTTGAGGAAATAATTTCAAATATTATAAAACTGGTTATTACAGAACGCTTATACCTGCCGTACTGGCACAGCTACTACTGCAGTTTCAGCATCAAGCTAATCCCTTGTCGAATATGGTGCAAGCCGAAAACCAAAACTTTAGCACTGCGCTTAATCGCACTGTGCGGGCTGTGACAACATCGGGGCTAACATCAGCTGATGATACTGGTGAGTAAAAGGAATATTATTCTTATTCTCCAATCACTTTCATATTTATTTCTAGTTCGTTCGCCAAATGCATTGGAAATCGATGGTCCAGCCAAAGAGCGCGTGAATGGTATTTTTCGTGAAACTGAAGGCGAAGCGGGCAAAATGAATGTTTTCGAGGAAGGCGTTCATTATATTTGGAATGATATATACAGTCTTGGTATAGTCTTGGTTAGTTCAACTCTGATTTGTTGTTTCCTGATACATCATGTTGATCTGAGACAACGGTTGATGGGCGCTCGAATGCGTATAGCTTGCTGCTCTCTGATCTACCGAAAGACTTTGCGGCTGTCTATGAAAACAGCGGGCCAAACACCAGCTGGCTATTTAATCAATCTACTCTCAAATGATGTGAATCGTCTGGACTATGGCTTTATATTTATGCATTGGATCTGGATTATGCCACTCCAAGCTGTGCTTACCTGCTATTTAATATGGCTACGTATTGGTATCCCAGCTCTAGTGGGCGTCATCGGGTTACTACTGAAAACTGTGCCTATACAGTCGGCATTTAGTAAGCTAACGTCAGTGCTTCGCATGCGCATAGCTGAGCGTACGGATGCGCGCGTTGGGATAATGAATGAACTGGTGCAGGGTATACAGGTTATCAAGATGTACGCTTGGGAGAAACCTTTTGAGGCGGTAGTCGCCGAGGCCAGACGTCGCGAGATAAAACAGATTCGTTACGCTTCATACCTACGTGGATTTTACCTCAGCACCATGGTTTTCACAGAGCGTTCCACTTTGTATATCACCCTGGTCGCAGCTGCTCTCATGGGACACACAATTACAGCTGATTTTGTTTTTTCGGCTGCAAGTTATTATAACATCCTGCAGTTGGTGGCGGCCATTTGGTATCCGCTGGCTGTAACCTTCGGTGCAGAGGCATTGGTATCTTTACGTCGCGTTCAGGCCTTTCTTCAGCTGGAGGGTCGTGATGAGATGGTCACTGGACTAACGCACAAACGCCAGCAGGATATAGGCGAAACACGTGCAATAGTCTTAAAGGACATCAGTGCCAGCTGGGACAAAGAGCGACCGGAGCGCACGCTTCAAAACTTTAATTTGCAGATAGAAAGCGGTCAGCTCTGTGCGGTTATTGGCCCGGTAGGAGCTGGAAAGAGTTCACTGCTGCAGCTGCTACTTGGCGAGCTGCCCATAGTCGACGGTGGTGTTATTATACAGGGTGAGCTCTCTTATGCCTCTCAGGAGCCTTGGCTTTTTACCGGTACCGTTCGCAATAACATTCTGTTTGGCGAGCAATACGACCGGAAGCGATACCAGGAAGTCACGAGATGCTGTGCCCTGACTACAGATTTTCAACAACTCAGCAATGGGGACAAGACCGTCGTTGGAGAGCGTGGAGCTTCATTGTCTGGTGGTCAACGTGCTCGTATTAGCTTGGCGAGAGCCGTCTACAAACCAGCATCAATTTATCTTCTGGACGATCCTTTAAGCGCGGTTGACGCGCATGTTGGACGACATCTGTTCGACGAGGTCATTGGACCACGTGGGAGACTGGCTCAGCAGAAGGCCACCCGTGTGCTCGTCACTCACCAGGTGCACTTTCTCTCAGATGCCGATTGGATTGTTATTGTGGATCATGGTCGAATTTTGAGACAGGGCACTTATGACGACCTTGTCAACAGTGACTTGGACTTTGCCAAGCTGCTGGAGCGTCCGAAAGAATTGGATAAAGCTGGCAACAACTTGGAAGCAATGTCTGTTACAAGTTCGAGTGGGCAGGATATAGACGAAGATGATGATATACCCTATATTGATGGCGTTCGTGATGGCTATCAACCGTTGCGGAAACAAAGCAACTCCACACATGGCAGCAAGTCGGTGAGTAATAGAATATAATATTAAGTATTAATCTCATTAATGTTTTACACCGTTTTCAACAATTACAGCTGAACAGCAGTGTGCAAGCGGACGCTGATCAAGATGATGATGAATTGGCCGAGGCTCAAGCTTCGGGAAGCATCTCGCCACGCGTGTGGTATGAATACTTCCATGCGGGCAGCACGTGCTTGAGCTTTAGTTTCATGGTGTGCATCATGTTGATGTCGCAGGTGGTGTGCAGCTGCTCCGATTACTTTTCCAATATTTGGACGCAGGAGGAGCATCGGCGATCACAGGGCGAAACTACCAGCTTTACCACTTTCGAGTGCATATATATTTATGGGGGTCTCATCCTTGGCGTCGTGATTATGACAACGTTCCGCGGATTTTTGTTCTTTAAGACGTGCATGCATGCCTCCAAGGTGTTGCACGATCGAATGTTCAGCACTATATTGCATGCGACGATGCGATTCTTTGATACCAATCCCTCTGGTCGTATACTCAATCGGTTCTCTAAAGACATGGGTGCTATAGATGAACTTCTGCCACGCGCCATGATGGACTTTATACAGGTTGCCCTGGTCATGTTTGGCATATTAATTGTGATAGCTGTGGTGAATCCTATTCTATTGGCTGCAATGTTAATTGTGGCTATTATCGATATGCTCATATTAAAGCTCTATCTGCGCCCTGCGCAAGATCTAAAGCGCCTAGAAGGCATTTGTCGCAGTCCTGTATTCTCTCACCTAAACTCTTCTTTGACGGGTCTTTCGATCATACGCTCGCGCCAGCTACAGGATGTTGTCATAAAGGAATTCGATCTGTTGCAAGATGTGCACAGTAGCGTCTGGCAACTGACCATGGCGGCCAATACGGCATTGGGACTGTGGTTGGACTGCGTCAGTTGCGCATTTCTCACGGCAGTGACTTTCAGTTTTATATTCACCAGTGAAAGTGAGCTTTGTGATCATAAAGACTTGGCAACGGATGATTAACCTTGATTAACACTTTCAGCCACTTATAGCGGCAATGTGGGCCTGGCCATCTCGCAGGCTATGATCTTAACCGGCATGGTGCAGTATGGTGTCCGTCAGGTGGCTGAGTCACTGCAGCAGATGACCAGTGTAGAGCGTGTTTTGCAGTACACGGAACTGGAACAGGAGGACACGTCTAAGAGTGTGGAACCCTCTCAACAGTGGCCTACAATGGGGCAGGTGGAGTTCCGTGACATGAGCTGCCGCTATGATCCTAATGGCTCTGCTGTACTCAAGCATCTCAGCCTAATCATTGAACCAGGCTGGAAGGTGGGAATCGTGGGTCGTACTGGCGCAGGAAAGTCCTCACTTATTGGCGCTCTCTTTCGTCTGGCATACATTGACGGTGGCATTTACATAGATGACATCGATACAGGCAGCATATCGTTGGAGACGCTGCGTACTCGCATTTCTATTATACCACAAGATCCCGTACTCTTCTCGGCCAGCATTCGATATAACTTGGATCCCTTTGAGCGCTACAGCGATGCTGAGCTGTGGCGCGCTCTCGAAGATGTGGAGCTACGAGCTGCGATTCCTGGTCTGGACTTTATGGTCACCGAGCGCGGCAGTAATTTCAGTGTGGGTCAACGACAACTCCTTTGCTTAGCCCGAGCGATCCTGCGCAACAACAAGGTGCTAGTGCTGGATGAAGCAACTGCCAATGTAGATCCACAGTACGTAGACAGTTGAGTGTAGGTTGAACTGCTTATCATCTATATTTGTATCTCTATAGAACGGACTCATTGATCCAGCGAACAATTCGTGTCAAGTTTTGCCACTGTACAGTACTGACTGTAGCACACAGACTGCATACAGTCATGGATTCGGATCGTATAATTGTGATGGACGCTGGGACTGCAGTGGAATTTGATGTACCACACTTACTGTTGAAGAAACAGCACGGAATACTCAGACAAATGGTCGAGGCTACCGGTGGAGAGTCTGATGCGCTGAAGAGTGTGGCCAATACTTCATTCAAACGTATGCAACAGGAGCGCGAAGAGAGAAGATCAAGCGAGGACCAGCAGGATAATTAGACTCGCATTTAACCCCAGACTTGGCGTTTAACTTAAGTTTCTCAAAGACCTATAAGACTTGGGCCATCAATACAGTCCCAGTTAACACGTTCACTATGATGTGAATAATAATCATAATTTCAATCTTTTTAAAAGTAACATTCAACTTGGGCGTGTTAAATATTTCCATTTTTCAGTTACTTGAATACTATTTATGTATGATATTAGGTGTAATTTAACTTTTTACCAGCGTCCATTTGTAAGAATTGTTTGATTCATGTTTTGCTCTTTTATTAACATCAGTAAAAACTCTTCGTACAGACTATCACTTAAAAGGAAATCTGAATATACTGCCTTGAAGATTCGTTGAACCAACGCATTGTACTTAGCAATATTTTGAATGTAAGCATAAAATAAAAATGAAGTTGCAGAATTTAAGGGCTAAGTGATAAGTTCCTTACTAATATATACATATGTGGGAGTTCGTATCTCATGTATCCCGTAAATACAAAATGCTTTACAAGTAATTCAAATAGTTATTTTGATAAATATTTGCTTGTCGTTCTTTACAACAGACAATAAGAAAAATAAGCCGATTAATTGTTTTGATATATATCCATGGCAACCTGATATTTTTGATGTTATATTACACAATCAAATTAAAAGAATTTTTCATTTAACCAAATTTAGGTGCTTGTTAGAATATTAGGAATAATTATGATTTAAATATAAACCACCTATAAATCAAGGTTGGATATAATTCAACCAATTAAATGCAAACAACTACACTGTGAAATTTTGTACTTGAAACATTAGATAGTTAAAATGTCGAAATTAATTAAATTTATTAAAATATATATAAATAATTTTCATATAAATTGCATTTTGACGATCATAGCATTACGAATGTATTGGAGATAACAGTATAAATAATGGGCAAACACAAACACAAATACAGGAAATATTTGAAGAATTTAGAAAAACTATACATCATTTTCTTGATCTGCGGCCCGCTGACATTTTCCCCGTAGAGGTTATCTGCTGCTCGTAAGGTACCGGCGGTGTACCATCGGCGTAGTGCACCGCTGAGATACGACTCTCAACTGAGAATAGTTGAGATTCCCCGCTGTGCGCCGAACCCGACTTCTCCTGCGTGGAGAGAATCGAGCCAACGGGTGTCGACGTCTTTTGCCTGTCATTGGTGCCATTGGTGGCATGGCCGTGAGCAGGAGTGTTTGTCGAACATGGAGACAGAGAATCGATCACTGATTGCAGAAAGTGGCTTTTCAGCGATTCGTCGGTGCTGTCAGAGTTGCTGTCTCTAATGGGCATACGATGCTTCAGCAGCTCTTTGGTGAGAAACTCACGCAAATTAAGTGAACGCCCCATCTGACTGACGTCTTGTGGTGTATCTGCAGACCTTCCGAGTGAGACTTGTCCCACAGTCCTGCCCCCACTTTTCTGTCGGAGCTCTGATGAAACACTGCTGTTCGTTGGTTCATTATGCTGCCTTTGTCCCTTCTGGTTAATTGATCGCTGCGTAGCCATGCGCTCCATATCCACCTGCACTTCGATCGCTAACGGGGACCTGGACAATGGTTCTATGCCACTTTCATTGGGCGAATATAAGCTGACATTCGGCAGTAAAGTGTCACGACGTGTGCTGCTCGCTATCTCTAAGGTTTGCATATCGCACGATCGGGTATCTCTCTTAAAAGATGACTTTAGTATGTTCCTGCTTCTCAGTTCTGCTTCGATGTCGAAGGAATCGCCGCTGTCTAGACTGGCGCTGTCAATCAACTCGCGTTGCTCGAGGGGCTCACGCTCGAGCAGTTGTTGTATATAATCGCGTCTGTTAGGAAATTCACGTATGCTGATATTCTGGAGGCGTAGGCGCTGCAGGAGCTCATCTATTGTAGAGGATTGCTGATCCATTTCGTTGTTCATATGGGTCCTCGATGCTGTTATGTTATGTAGATAAGCACTGATACTGGGAAAATCGCGATAGTCAACATCATGGCCGCGTTGTTTGATGGATTGGATGAGCTCTTCAAATTCGTGTTGCAGCCGAGTGCTTTGAGTTGCATCCAAGTTCGCTAGATCAAGCTGCAGCTCCCGTGCATATTGATTGAAACTGGGAAAGGGAATGGCTGCAGGTGTTGCAGGTACAATATGCGACTGAGCTGGCGTATCCACTTCTGTAATAGTGGACAGCTCATGTGCCAGTTCCTCCGCAGCCAACTGAGGACTATATCGACGTATTGTCGCTGGTGGCACTCTGCCGCGACGTACTCCACTGCTTTGGGTGGACGAGAGCAACGATTGTGGCTCGGTCTCTGGGAGCTCCACCAGGCCTAGCGCTGTTAGTGGTCGTGAAATAGATATGCCGCTATCAACACTGGCACCCGTTGGCTTGTTCTTCTGCAACGGCAACGGCAACGGCTCACTCTGGGATGTTGTTGTATTATGGCTATCACTGCGCTCAGATGCGGAGCGAGAACGTTGTTGCCCCTGTAATGGTGGCAGTTCGAAGTATTCTGTGGAATGGCGATCACCTTCACTGGCCGAGGTAAGCGTGACTTCAACCAAGCGCTGCTTCTCTTTACGCACCTTAGTTATCAGTTCCGTCAGCTCTGCTATACGCTGCGTACAGTTTTCCGTCAACATGGCATAGCGTTCCATTTGACGTGCTGCACATTTTTCAGGGGAAGCCGGAGCTTGGCTCACGGTTGCCTCCACGGTTCGTTGTTTCGGCAAAGTTTCGGATATGTGCGTTGTGGGCTTTACTTCAGTAAACGCCACTTGATTCTGTTTCGTCAATTCTTCTGAAACTGTACGTCTGCTAGCAGCTGCTTGTTTACTTGTCATAGGTCTTTCAATTTCCTGTTGTTGTTTTCGCTGATGATGCTGCTGCTGTTGCTGCTGCTGCTGTTTCTGCTGCTGTTGCTGCTGCCGCTGCTGTTGCTGTTGCTGCTGCTGCTGCTGCTGTTGCTGCTGCTGCTGTTGCTGTTGCTGCTGTTGCTGTTGCTGCTGTTGCCTGGACAAGCGTTCATTCCAAATCTGATCGAATTCGTGCTTACTGCTTTCCTTATCTACTAGCTGATATTCCTGTTCCTTTTGCTGGTTGCGCAACGTGTCCTCGAGCTCAGATACAAAAAAGCGATTATCTTGGATGAAATTCTGCACGCGTTCTACCCGCTGATGGTCAATTAATGTATTTTCCATGCGACTTGCCATATTGTTAGGATTATTAATTATTGATTCCGTAGGGGTTGTCACTTCAGAGGAAGTGATACCTAACTGATCTATGGAACTGCGTGACATGCCCAGCAAGCGATCCACATAATGAGCGACCATTGGATGCAGCGGTTCGAAGCTTGGAGCAGGCTGTGCAGCGCTGACTGTCTCTATAGGATTTGTATTTTTATAGATAACAGGCGGCAATTCACGATATGATGTTGAATTGGAATCTATGGAATTCTGCCGTTGACTCTGAATAGGTGCCATTGTGGATGATTTTTCACTGGGCTGGGTTGATGAAGAAGGGGTTGGCTTTGGCTTGCTATCTGTCTTGGTTTGTAGTTTGTCCTGCGTCTTGCCTTTGGGGATCACCTGTTTGACGCTGCCATCGCTCTTCACCTTGATTATAATCTCGACTGGGCCATCATCCTTTTTTCTACGGTCCTTCTGACTATCGGACTTCTTTTGCTCCTTGTGTAGCAGACGCAAACGTTGGTCCAATAGCTCCTCCTTCTGCCGTAATTCCATCTCTCGCTGGCTTATATTGTTTGCAGAGCCTGCGAGAATGTTAGCGCGCTCATTGCGTATCGAATCGATCACCTTCTTTGCATTGTCGTCGGTCATATCACCCGCATGCAACTCCGCCAGGAGTTGTGATCGGATTTTGTCGATGCGCTGCAACAAATTCTTTAACTTCATGGACTTCGACGAATTGCACTGCATCGCTTTGAGCTCTGTGCGCAGCTGCTTGCTCTGATCATCAACGTACTCTAACAGAATGGAGCAGCAGCTGCTCGAGCTAGCACGATCATCCAACTTGTTGGGCGGGTTACCTACATTGATTGCCTCCGGTACATTGGATTTGTCACGGCCGCTTCCTTTACGGGGTGAAAGGTTCTTGGTGACATTGACTTCGGGGCAGGTAACGATAGCCGGACGCAAAAGCATCTCCTCCATAGCTGCATTCATTTTCTGTTCACGTCGTAATGCCATATCTGCGTAGCGATGGCTCGGAACGAAATTGATCTATTGGGATAAAGATTTAATAGTGATGAACTGGTTAAAGTAAAATAAGTTCATAGCTAACATCACTCGGCAAAAGTTGTGGCTGCTGCTGTGCTAACGCTTCCAATTTCTCCTCCAATTCGGCGCAATCTCGACGGACCTGCTCCCGTTGTAGCGCCTTCTGACCACGTTCTTCGGTTACTTGTCTACAAAAAATTATATGAAACTTTACTAACTGATTTTTATTGTTTCTTATCAATAGTACCGTTGACTCTGCTGTTTCTGCTCGCGTAACTGCCGCAGCTGTGTCTCAATTCGTGCATTATCCATGGCAGTCATTTGTGTGCCATCATGCTGATTTACCTGCACGTTTTCCTCGGGCACCTTATAGTTTCGACGATATTTGTTATTGTGATCATAGAACTGGACGTGTCCAGTCGTATATGTTCCACCACTCTGCCCCTTCGAAGTACCTGTCGAATGACTGGTCATAGTATTTGATGGATTAGCACTTGCGCTGGTGGCCGAATTGATAACTGGTAACTGGGATTGTCCTGGACCCTGGCCTGTGGTTGGCATCGGATATGGTGGCACGGGGTAAGGTAGCATATTATAAGGCGGCATCATGTGTGGTGCATACATTGGATGCATAAAAGGAGGCACTTGCTGCATATGCACGTATTGAACATGCATCGGATCCATGGGTCCTTTTTGTATGTGAATCGGTTGTATTTGGGGTTGCTGTGTTGGATTCATGCGGGGCTGTTGTACGGATGTTACTGGCTTCTCCGCTTTTTCCGTGCTACCAGAATTTGCTGACGCTGCATTTGATGGTTTCGCTGATGTTGCACTGCGCCTTAAGCCCGCATCTATCACTTTAACTGGAGGAACGCCTTGTGTGTTGTTGACTCGCAACGAAGAACGCTTTGGGATCTGTTGACGATTGTGTGCTGGCTCCATCGCTGATCTAGTAGGTGAAACATTGGAGGAGCCAGCTGGAGAAGTTGCCGATGCTGCTTTTCTAGGTGACCGGGAAGACGATCTTGTAGGACTTTTTGGACGCTGTACCCTTTCTTCACATGTTTGTCTTTGAGTGTCCTCTAAGTTTGTATCCGTACGTCGAACCAAGTCGCTAATTTGCGTGAAGCGTGGTCGAGAAGGCATTGTATCAAAATCTGGTGCTACACCTCCTGCTACTGGTGGATGCAGTCCTGATTCACTTGCATTGGGGCGAACGACGCGGCTAAATTTGCGATTGCTTTGCATGTATAGATCGTTAATTTCGATGCCATTGCGTGAGCAGATCTCCATTGAGTCTTCGCTATCGTCATCCACATCTAAAATTACTGGCGGCGTTTTTTGCAGTTGAGCTGAACCGGTGTTCGCATCGTTAGCAGTTGGTTCAGATTGTTGCTCATCGCTGCTGATGCTGCTGCTGCTGTCGGATGTAATTTCGAACATCACCTCCTCGTGGTTGTTCTCGTTCCGATCGTTGCTTGATAACCGTGTTTTATGCCGTTTGCGCTTGCACGAGCTATGTGCTTTCGCTGCTTTGCAAGCTTGCTTATTGCACAATTTGTTCTCCTTACCTTCGTGTAGTTTCTCTAGTTGCACTGGCGTCTGTGTGCCTGCAGTAGCGCGTCCTTGCACATTAACGCCCCGTGTTGCCGTTGAACGCAGAATATTTGTTGGCTTGTGCAGTGCTGCACGCTTTGTGGCGAGTCTACGACACTTTTGTATCTGCTCAGCTCGCTGTTGCTTTTGTTTTTCAGCTTTTTCAGTTTCAGCCTGGGCGGCTCGATGGGCGGCACCCACTTGGAACATCGAGGTACGGTAGTCCTGACATTTTTTGGCCACAACATGCTCACGCCATGTATTTAACTCTTGCTGTTTGACTCGTTCTAGGGTTTTTAATTGACGCGATTGTTCCGCTGCCACCTCTTGGCGTATGTGGCGAGCCAAGCTGCTGGATTTCTCGCGCACCTTCAATTTCGTAATATTATAATGTAAACAAAAAGAAGAAACTTAACTGCGTCTTACCTGTTGTAAACGAGTTATGCGACGCTCGTTTTCGAGATCTTTTTTAACGCGTTCGGGATCAGCAAATCTGTAGCGTTGTTTGAGATTTGTATCAAGCTTACCACTTACTGTCATATTCATGGTTATTGTCAAATAAAAATTGTACTAAATACTGGAAACATTTACAAACACTTAATAAAAATACTTTTTGACTACAAAATCAAAAGCCAACGTTCAAAATTCCTCGACAAGCGAACAAACAGAAGCGCAAGCGCAGACACATTGCTGTATTTAAGCGTATATCGATGTATTGTCCCAATGATGCGATACTTATCGCACTTATCGACGCATCAACGATAGCCAAAAGAAAAATCAGCTGTTGTCAGTTTTGTTTTGGTTACGAGATTGTAGACATTTAAATTGATTTATTTATATAAAACACTACGAAAATGACTTACATGTTGCGTCAGCTAGCAAAACCTATTCTGCAAAGGTAAATATAAAGCAGGAAGAACTAACAAACAGCTTAAAACTAATATATTATTGCAGAACTTTGCTCAATGGAAGTTCAAGTTCAATACGTCTAGCCGCCAAAGACGCAGCTGCAAATGCCCATGCAACAAATACGCAACAGCAGCAACTGCTGGTTAGCGAAAGTTGTTTGAAACGTTTGCGTGAGATCTGTAGTGATGGCAGCTTTTTGCGAATTACAGTTGAAGGCGGCGGTTGCTCTGGATTTCAATACAAATTTGACTTGGACAACAAGCTAAACAAGGATGATTTACAGTTTGGTGAGGACAAAGCTAAGGTGGTCATTGACACCATTTCCTTGGATTACTGTACAGGCGCTACTGTGGACTATCATAGCGAGCTAATTCGAGCTGGATTTCGCATGATTGCCAATCCGCTCGCTGAACAGGGCTGCTCATGTGGCTCCTCATTCTCGATTAAATTGTAATTAATACTTAAATAATGTTCGTTAATTGTTAAACTTTAGTGAAATATTTAAACACACAGTTATAAATTTATATGTTCAGCTATATACACATTGCATCAAATGTAAATTTAAAAAAATATGGTATGCTGCCCCATAAGCAGTTGGTTGGTTTTTCGGTATCTGGCTTATTATCGAAATGAATTGCTTTTTAAAGGCTTTATCTTAATGTCAAGTTCTGTTTATCAATTCTGGCTATGTTTCTTTTGATTGAATGAAAGAATCGTTTCGAAAATAACCAACTAGCTTACAACGTAGCCAGTGTCTTCTTTTGAATAATATACAATATAAAGCAATGAGGCAGGCGGATTTCATTTACATGCAGCCAACTGTTCACTTAAGCTTATCACTTGCTCTGTTAGCACACTGATCTGCTCTTCATAGTTGTAGCGAGTCGTGGACTGTAAGAATAAATAATCAATAGTCAGAATTAGTCTATCAGATGTAGTGAATTGTATATGATCCTACCAACTCCTCCTCAAGCAATTGCAGTGCACCTCCAAGGCTGGACAATTGCTCGTCCTTGGCTTTCAGTTCTTGCGAGGCATTTTCTAGGCAGATTTGCAAATGCAAAGTTTCTTGTTCGTAAGACCGTACGCGGGACTCGGCTAGCGCTTTGAGTCGTAAAAGTTCTTCATACTTTTTGCTGAAGGCGCTATATAAAAGCTGCTCTTTTGTGGGCGGCTCTTGCGGTTCCTGCAGCGAATCGCGCGCTCGCTGGCCGCTTTTGTTTTCTAGGCAACATGGCTTAACGGTAATGCCCGCCGCAGCTGTGCTACAGCTACAAATACTGCTGGCATCAATCAACGTTTTGCTGAGATCTACATTTGTGTTCGAGTTGTAGCTTAAACTCTGATTCAGTTTGGCCACCTCGTACTGAGCTCGCCAATGCGCCGCTTCCTTTTCTAGTAGCACGATGCGTTCTTCGGCAGTGAGTGTTAAGGCTAAATTGGTGGTAAACTGGTGCTGCTGTTGATTATGCAGCGGCGTGTTATCGCTGCCAGTGGCGCTCAAAGCATCCTCACTACCAATCTGTAAGCATAAGCTGAAAGTTAAGATTTCTCTATGAAGTCATTTTTTGGCACTTGCCATGCTCGCAGCATCGACCAGCTTTGTTTCGAGTTCACAGTTTCTCAGTTGCAGCGTTTCCACCTCTTTTCGCAAGCGGTTTTCCAAATCGTTCTGGTCGCCTATTCGTTTCTCTAGTTTCTGTTCTAGTTCCGATATGCGTTCTGTGTACAACAATAAGTCGCGTTGCCTGTCATCTATCTGCGGGTGACAATCGTTATTAAAACTTTGTATGTATGTACTTGCGTATATGTGTTTTTGCATGTCTGCTGTCCCCATTTACCAATGACGTCAGCTGTGCGTTTTCCATTATTTTCTTCTGAAGTTCTTCGAAGATTAGCGCTTCCTGCGCTGGATTCATGTTTGGCGCTTCACTTGGTGGCTCCTGTTTGCTGCCTCCTAAAAGCCCTCGTTTGCTTGTCTCTTTTTTTTTGCGCGCCTGCTCATGCACCGTTAATTCTTGCTGCAGGTGGGAGACACGCGATTCCAGCTGCTTGTTGCGAAAACCCAGTGAGTCAACCTCCTGTTCAGTTCGCCTTAACGATGTGGCGTTCTGTTGTAGTTGTTCACGCAGATTTGCCTCCTTTGCCTGTTCGTCTAGCACCGCCTTCTTCAGTACTTGGGCTTGGGCACGCAGCTGTGGGCGTGAGCGGAAGTGGATTAAATTAGATTAATGCGTTTGTGAATGGGGCGTAAACTGTTGCTGGTTACCTTTGAGTATTCACTCGCCAGTTTCTGATACTTGGCTTCTGGCACTGTGGCATCCATGCTGGTCATTTTTTCTGCCATGCCGGCAGGTAAAACGCCGACTTGCGCAGTCTGCACAAATACTGAGCTTATGTTTAAATAAATAGAACTATTTTTGCGCTTAGAAAGTGCCAAAACTGCAATATTAGTTATGGGAAAGCGTCCAATTCATCGTAATGCAGAGATATGGTAAATATATCGATTAAAAACGAGGCGCCAATAAGTTTTGTAACTTTGAAATTTTAAAGTGAGTATATATATTCAAATTTCATAGTAGTAGAAGAAAGGGTTCAATTAACAATTATGACTATTAAATTAAGGCTTTCTTGCATTCTAAAAACTAACCATGCTTGTAGTTGATAGCCCCGACAGTCCTATAAGAAGAAGCCAATCGATACTTATCGTTTTTAATTCAAACAAAAATGTTTCCAAATCAATAAACCGTTTGCTATAATTTATTAACTAATTTATAAAATACGTATCTAATATACAAACTTGCCAATCGGATATTAGCATTAACTTAAAAATATATGATCGAATGGAACTTTTTCAAATATTTTGTTTGAGAGTTCTTTGAAAACGAGACCAAAGCTTTTGGAGTAGCCAGCCTTCAGTTCGTTAAACACCGTCTCCCAATTTTCATTTAGAAAACGATTCATTCCCTCAGACAGAGTTTTATCATTGAAAAGGTTCTCAAAATATAAATAAACCCGTTTGGGTTCCATTGCAACGCGATACTCCTTAAGTCTCATATACTTGACACCATCCTTTTCAAAAGGTTCTCCAATCAGACGATGCTCGATCTTCGTATTCACCAGAGTTATATTGGCCTTGCCATGCCCTGTAATAGGCAGCAACAAAATCCGACCAGACATTTCGTATTCGCCTACCATTTCAATGCGGTCTGTTTTGCTATCACAGATTATTAGATGCTTCTCCAAATCGGTCCTAATAGAGGAAGAGGAAGATGATTGTGGTTTACAATATGTTGGTTAATTGGTTTGAAATTTGGCAAGATTCTGTTAATTACCGATATCGTTGAATCGTGCTTGTCGAGATCATATCATGCACCTTCACGTTTTTCAAGGCTTGACGAAGATTTATGGGTGCGTTACCGGCGTCTATAACAAGTTTCTTCACGGACAGCGGCTCTAGCGGCGGAATGCCGAATTCTTTGTTGCCTATCAATAGTTTAATTAATTTAGTAGCAAAGTCACATAAAAACAGTATTATTGTACTATATTTTCTGTTAATAATCAATACTAACCACTTTTGAGCAACTGAATTGCGTGATTCACAGCGTCCACAAGGCACTTGTCAAAGTTTGCATCGCGTTTGCATTTAAGGAAGTTTTCAGCTGAAAACAAAATATATACGTATGTATAGAAATTAATAAATCTGATCATGACATTGAAATCAACATGAGGAAGTCCCGAGTCAGAAAGTGTAATTGTACCAACCTTAAATCAAAGAGTAGTACTTTAGCTAGAGTTCGTTGGCCACAAAACAAGTTTCAGACAAAGCCATAAATGAAGCAACAAGATAACAAATGAGACAGCTATTCATGGGTCTCAAGGTCAAGCCGCAGCGCATGGCAATGTATTTATCTGTCAGATGTGGCTAAATAACAAAGCCACTCATGACCTACGGCAACATAGCCATAGCCGCCACCACTCTTCGGGCTCAATAAGCTTGGAAAATATGTGTCATCGCAAGCGGAAGTGGTCCACTGACTGAGTGCAAACCCGTTTGTCGATATCGATATGTTAACCAGTTTCGATTGCATAACATTTCCATTAACGCCTATCGATGCAGTTGCACTGCACTGTAAGTCGATGGCTCTTCGACTTTGCATACTCAGCTTGTCACCCATGGCGAGCCATTAGAGAATATTACAGCGACCTTCGGGCCTTTAGCCAAATAAACTTACCACCTATAAACAATATTGATCACGTTTTGGCCATAAACAGCGTTGGTGGCCAAAACCAAAACTAAGCTAAGCTAATGCTCAATGCGCAAATAATAAAAGCAGAGCTAACGAAATCACAAGCTGCGAACAATTTGCACTTACTGCTATTGTGAATGCTGCTACTAAAATTTACTTACGCAAATCTTGCGCGACCGTTACACATTTTGCGGTCTCCTGCGCAACCAGAGCGATTAGCAGTAGCAATATAAGTGACGATTGTTTTGACATGATGACGCTTGAAATCGGATGCGATATGCGAAATCTATTGCCAATATGGACTGTGCCCAATTGAAGACTCTAATTCCAGCACGCACAGACGCGGGTACACACTTAAGCACAAGCACACGAAAAGTGCTTTAAATGTTGCTGCTGAGGGCTTTGTTTTGAGCGGTTCTCTTCTTCTCTTCACGACGACTTATCACAATCCAATGGAAGCGGGATGCTTCAAGCGACCGAGTTATATACTGAGCTTCGGCAATGCGGACACCTAAAAGCTTCCTCGCCGACCATACAATCAGTCCGAAGCCGAGCTTTAGCCCATAAACATGCATATATGTAAATATGTATGTATGTATGTACGTATATAGGTATGTCGTGTGCAGCAACTTTGGCTTTCCGCCTGACCGCTTAGGAAAATGCAACCAATATCCATGTCCATTCGTGATCGTGAAGCTGCTGCAGAGTCGACTTCGCTCTCGTTACACTAATATACGTTGGAAGCGAGTGTCGAACGATGTCAGGCTTTACAACAACCCTCTGATGCCCTTTCCATTGCCGTAGGGGTTCATTGAACTAACTACACACATACATACATTTGTATATATGCCATTCAGTCCGCTGAGACTGAGTTACATTTTAATTGGGGTGTCATTACGGGATAGCCGGTAGTAAACAAAAGTCTGTTGCATGTTTGGTTAAAGGCGGTGACGAGCATTTAAAGATCAGAAGTCTTTCATAGAGAACAAAGTATTTAAACTTACGAAAATAGTTATGATGAAAACAAAAGTACCTATTTAAATATATGTATAAATAAATAATAGTCTCACAAAAGGGGAATTTATCATATTAAATACAATAATTTTAAGTTTAATACTTAAAAGATCACTTAAGTTCATATAAAAATCCATGTATTAACTTGTTCAACATAAAACGTAATAAAATAAATAATATAATTTAGCATTAACACAGCTTTAAATTATCATTTAACAAAATCGCCATGTTAGCCAAATTTAACTAATAGTACTTTATTGCGTAATTAGTCATGACACAATGCTATACAGGAACCAATTAAAAATGATATATAATTTCAACGCCAAGCCTACATCAGTAGAATCCCGTTTTATTTCGACACTCAAATGCCAGACAGTTCCCATGGCAATAGAGCTTAACCAATTAGTTCTAATCGCTGACGCAAGAGACCACTAAAAAGCTATAATTGTAGTTTGTTGCCTAAGTCATTCGTTTCAAGCCAAAAGAAAAAAAAAACGGTACGAGGACCTCAAGCAGCACGTTTGGCATGTGTCTATGGAAACTGCCGCAATTGTTGTTCAAATATAAACAAACGATTCGAGCCGGCAGCTAAGCAAGCTAACGGGAATGCAGGCCGCTGCTGCTGGTGTCGGGGCGTTAGTTGTGCGTAAAAACCGGTTGTCCCAAACGCTGAGCAGTCGTCGCTGAGCATTCTTTCAGCACACAGACAATTTTTGGTCATCAAGGCATCATTACCAAATACTCGGTAGAGCAGCATCGTCATGCAGAGATGTTATTGTGGGTACAATGGTGGAAGCAGCATCTTAAAGTCGACGAGCCACGTCGACAGACTGCAGCAGCGGCAGCCGCTGCGCAGTGATCTCGTATCGCTGACGTCATCTTCCAGGCAGAGCGTATATCCCACGCAGTTCATAAAGCGTCCCAGCCTGAAAAAAAACGTGGAACTGGGCTTGGGTCACTCCAAAAGCGAGCTGGCACGTAACTTCAGTAGACGCAATTCGGCAACAACCACATTGAGTCATTGCTCCAGTTGGTGCAGCAGTTGCGGGTGTGCTCCACAGCAAAAGCAGCGTGACAATCGCGTCAAGATACTTAGTTGGGACACTGGAGAGCATCGGAGCAACAGCAGCAGCAGTCACAACAGCAACAACACCCATTGCGAACACACCTACAATCGACGTATCTACGAGCAACGCGCCTGCGCCGGTAGCCGCTTGGGAGCTGAAGGTCAGGGTCAGGTTCACAGTCGGAGCTCTGCCACTCCCTCGCCGGCGCCCAACTCCACAACGAGTGGGAATAATGAACTGCAGCGCCTGCACTCGCTACAGCAGTTCCGGCTGCTAAATGCCAGCGAATGCTTCAGTGCCCAGCGACAGGATGAGTTGCGTCTACAACAAGCCTATGACAAACTGGGCGTGGCCCTCAATGCCAAGCGGGAGAAAAACAACGCTAATGAATGCAGGCAACAGAACATGATGGCAACAACAAAAGCGGGTACAACGCCCTACGCGCTGCGTCAAAAGCTACTGCAGCTGCAACTACGCGAGGAGCACGCAAGTGGCCGTGGCGCGGGTGCAATGTGCGCACCCTTGGAGAAAAGCTCTGCTCTAAAATATAACTGAATTTCTTAGTATAAGTATTACTATCTTAGCATCAGTAAGAAGAGAATGTATTTTTTGATAAATTTATAAAATGGCAGTTGCAAAGCCAATGGCATATCATCAGAGCTTGTAGATAAAAGTATTTCAAATGACCTGATCTCCATTAGTTTTGCAATAATAATAAATGTAAGCACTTGACTGAATCCCTCAACTAATTGATTGATTAGGTCTCATATCAATTACCTTATATACAACATACATTCACAGCTAAATCGACTTTCAGTGAAAACTACGTGGTGCCAATCATTTTTATTGCTAATATGTATTTCATTTTTCATTTTAATAAAACAGTGCTATTTTGTTACAAGTGCTTCATGTTGATTTTATTTTTTTTTGTATTTTTTGCCACTTTTTAGCTTTGAATGCGTTTTTGCTTTTCTTAGCTTGTCTTTTCAAATTTTCAAAAAATTACAAGTTATTTATTAATTTTTTTTTTGCTTTTCAATAGATTTTTTTTGTTCTTTATATATATTTTATTTTATTTTATTTTTTTGTTTTTAGCTGTTTGACGCAATTTTTGATATTACATTATAATTTCTTATAAGTGTTTGTTTTTTTTTTTATATTTTTTTGTTTGTTTTGAAAACAGCCAATATCAACTATAATATTAAATAATTTTGTTGGTTTTTTTAGCATTTTGTGTTTTGCTTTTGTTTTACATATATTTATGTACGTAGAATTCAATACAACATTAAACAGAGTACTAGAGTGGTTTCGACGAGGGAATTGAGACTGCAGCTGGACATTCAAGTTAAAAACTCGGGTTTGTTACTTTCTTTTAGTGGGGCGGGGGATATTACGAACGAAACCTTTTTGGGGGCTATTCATGTCGGGACGTACGTACATGCATAATAAGTATAATACTTGAATGTGGCGGCCTTTTGCACTAGAATGTACCGACTCTTGTCGCAAATACAATTAGAGCACACACACACACGAATGTGTCTACACAGTGCATGCATCTGTGCGTGTGCGGGTGTGTGTGTGTGTGTCCATGTTTCAGATGTTTTACAATTTCATGTTTCTTTATATATATATTTGTATACGTATATATTGTTTTTTTTTTGTAATTTGTAGTTGTTTGTAACCTTATCTGCTGCGTCGCTGACGTCAGCAGAGGGCACACAGTGCCACTAAAAAGTATGCTGCTTTTTGTTAGCTGTTTAACTTTCGCATAGAGTTGTCTTTTTTATTTATTTTTGTTTGTTGCCTTATTAAGCAGTTCATTGTTTATATATATTTAGTTAAACAAATATGTTGTTTGCAATTGATTTCATTGTTAATTTAATTATATTTATTGTTTTGCTTTTGTGGATTTTGCTTTTGTAATCTTCCATCATATGCAGTTTTGTGTGCTACACATACTCTATATTTAATCGTCAACGCGTACAATTTAAAAATATACACAACTTTTTGTTTATTTCAATATTTTTGGTTTAAACAATTCAAACTTATGTATCTTCGAGCTAAATTTGCATTTGCTTTAAAACTAAGTAAACATGTAGTAGAATTTTAATGATGAATAATAGTTAAAAAAATATATATATAATCGCGCTAAGAATACGTACATACCTATGCGGTGCATATGCATTCAACTCACACACATAGCAAAAGCATTAATTAAAGTTCACAAATAATTATAAGAATAACATTTTACCATTTGCTATATTAAAAAAAGTTAATATATATTAAAGGAGAGAATCCTCTGTCTGGTTGTTGTGCTATGCAAATAACCGAAAAGAAACAAATGCTGTGCGATATTTGAAAATGCAATAAATACAATTGGAGTGTGCGTACACTTATCGTACCTACTTTAGCCTTAGCTTTCTGTCTGTATGTGTGTGCGTGTATGTCTGTATGTGTGTTGTGTTTGCATTGCGCAAATGAAAAACTATAACAAAATAAAATTAATACATTAAGAGATATTCTTGCTTATGCAGTGTTTAACACTGCAATTAGTTTGAACTAAAGTGTCTCAATTTGTGTATGGGTGTGTGTGTGTGTGTGTGTGTGTATGGGTTGGTGTTTAGTATTTCGCTTTTGCTTTTGCGCTCTTCAAATGATAATAGGCTAATTTTTAAATCCTTAAAAACGTTGCTCACGATTCGATTACACATATTCGATTAAAAACAAACATTTCTGCGCATTGAATTGATTTTTGTGTGTTTTGTTGTAAATTATTGTTGCTGCTTGTTGTTTGTCGCTTATTTTTTCTTATTCTTATTGTTTGCGCCGCGTGGCGGTGTTAACGGACGCCCTGAGCTGCCAAAGTTTGGATAAACAAATCGTCGCTTATCGGCGGGTTTCAAAATCTGAAAGGAGCACATTAATGTGTCGTCCACGGACATCATGGCACCTTCGAAGTAAACAAAACAATAACGAAATATATAAATATGATATCATATGATTCTAGCATATACGTCGTGTAACTGTAGTCCCGATAACACTTTCTGTTTGTATTAATTGTCTAAACAAAAGAAATTCGTTTGCTGATATCTGAGCGTTTGATTCTCACTAAAGACTTTGCTTATGTTAGATGACTGTGATCCAATCCAATAAATTCGAATTCTAATAGTGGAAAATTTCTACAATTACTGTATGTGTCTGAGATTCGGTCAAAGATTTAGTCTTACAAAACTTATGCCTATATGTATATAGTAAGTGCAAATTTTTCTTTTGATTTTATATGAAAATATAACAAAAATATTTAGATTTTCAATCAACATATACGTATATAATGTATTTATATATTTTACTAACAAATTGAGATATATATACAAGAACTTTATCTTTATTTCGAGCTGTCCACAAGCCTAATAAAAACAATTTTTATTAACAAAACAAATTAAAATAGCCTTGGAACCTCTTTTAGAAAGCTGTCATCGAACGATAGGAGTAACATTTGCCAACTTTGAATGATTTAATATTAAAACAACAATATAAGCAAAGTGTAATGGAAATATAATGCCTAATCAAAACATTAGACATTTTATGAGAACATTTTCACAAGTAATTTTCTATTTTTGAGCACGAGTTGTTTACATTTAATTTTCTATTTTCTATAATTATATCATTTCCTGAATTTTCCACTAAATTACCTCTATCATAACAGTGAACTATGAGCCTATTTATTTACTTGCAACTTCGTCGTTGTTGTGTTCTGCCCGCAAGGTTATCTTCAAAATCTGTGCTAATCTAAAAATTATCTTTTCAAATTGTATAGTATACGACAGCAGTATTTACTCGCATTAACAATTCTCTTACAATGAGATAACACCCACGTTATTTGTCGTTTAAAGTCCGGGATCAGTGTACATACTTATATATGCATATGTATATTTGCCTATATACTTATTTTTATTTGTAGGCATGTATGTATGTCATTTGTTTCGTGGTCACTCACCCGCATTGTCAAATTCACCGCAATAGTTAGGCGCTGAAAAGAGCGTCACCAGCTGGCGCTTGGCAAAGAACTCATAACCATCCTCAACAACCTGATGTGCACGACATATAAGATCGAACTCATGCTTCTGTAGAAATTTGCCCACAACCTTGACACAAACAGATGTAGATTAATATATAATGCAATTGTCATACGTGGCTTTGCTAGTACCTCCGCTCCAAATGTAAAGCTTACGCCACGATCATTTTCGCCCCAGCCCATGGTGTCCTTGTCGGGATCTGACCACAAAAGATCGCATAGCAGACCCTGGTCGGGCACATCCGTGGGTCGCATAATGCGTCGTATTTGCTCCATTGAGGACAAATCAGGACTTAGGCCGCCGTGACAGCAAAAGATTTTCTCGTCCACGATTGCGGCCACGGGCAGACAGTTGAAACAATCTGTAAATGTTTTCCACAGCTTTATGGTATAACGTCGTTTGCATTCATCGTAGAACCTGTCAACGGGCAAGACACATGAGTAACACAGACACAGGCATGACATTTGAACAAATAATGCGTGCTAAACGCTAGAGCGTTTCTCACGAAAGGCCATTTCCGATTAGCTAATATCACGATATATGTATCTACATGAGACTAGCTGTCGCTTGTATGCAATTGGGGAATTGAGCATCAAGAATAAGATGGTTAAAGTAAATATTCTAGATTTTCGACTTTCCAATTAATAAAGATTTAAAGATATATTTTAAACGTGGAGCAATAAGCGATAGTAAAACTCTATGTTTAATATGTAATCCAATAAGAACGTGCATCCGCAGTTTGCGTTGGACAACGTTCTCAATCTGATTCCAATAAAAATAATCGATAGCAATTTTAGCTTCTGCATTCAAATAGGGATATGCCAATTTCAGAATTGATAAGAATTATAAAATTGAATATCGGATTTTATTACAAATATTGAGCTTCTAATATATTATATTAATAATCTGGAAATGTTCAGATAAATATATATATTTATCTCAACTTACCCGTAGATGCGATTGATGCTTGCGCATTCGTGGTTGCCGCGTAGTAAAAAGAAATTCTCTGAATATTTAATTTTGTATGCCAACAGAAGACATATCGTCTCCAGGGATTGCTTGCCACGATCCACGTAGTCGCCAAGGAATAGATAATTCGATTCTGGCGGGAAACCGCCGTACTCAAACAGACGCAACAGATCGTAATATTGCCCGTGTATATCGCCGCATATTTTGAGCGGAGCCTCCAGTTCCAACAGTATCGGCTGCGATAGAAATATTTCACGCGACTTCAAGCATAAACTTCGTATTTCACTCTCCGATAATTGCACATTTTTGCCTGGACGGGCACCACGGACTGGAGGAAATAAATTTGCATTGTGGAGACTTTAGGTGTAAAATTAATTAAATATATTTACCTTCCAAAAGACGCGAGATAATGCTGTCAATATTCATGATGTCGGACATGTTTCACACTGTTACTGCTCCTGATGTTTTTGTTGTTGCTGTTGATGATGATGATGTTGACACCTGCGCCTATTTCTCTGTGTCGCCGTGTGTTTTCTTATCTGTTTACCTGCGTCCACTCCGATTGCTACTGCTGGCTCCGTTATTTTAGCTTAAGCTTATGTATTTTCGGTATACGTTATGTATACAGGGGGCGGAGGGCCACTTCTGTATATGTATGTGTGTGTATAATATATCTGTGTGTAGGAGTGTTTGTGTAGTTGTCGTCAGGTAATTTACTCTTAACAGCGCTGCTTTGAGCTACTGGTACGGATTTTCAATGTTTTAGCTGTTACGCCATGTACGTTCAGCGTTTGTCACTGGTTTGCGTATTGTTCGACTGCGTTTTAAAGCATTTATTGCAAGCTATTGAAGATTTTTGCGACGTCAAGAAATTTTTTCGCGCAACCACACTTCGCCGCATCGCAATCTAAATTCGCCGTGAACGCGTAGCGATAAGTTGCATGTGCACATATCGATATATAGTGGCCACTTATATAGTGTTGCCACACTACAAATCGTGAGTAGGTGGCAGTTTTAGTTAATAAAGATTCGAATGTTTAATATTCTTTGTATTTAATTTATTCGGAGTTGTCTTCAGTACTTCTTCTGCTACCCTCTGTATTAAACATAACACGCTTACGCGGCAGCGGCACAGGTCTTGCTTGTTGTATCTGTATCATCTTCGGCTTGGAAATTACTCTAGCTGCCGGCTTGCTCAGCAATTGCTCCAATTGCGCTTTGAAATTTTGCTGTTGCGGCTTGGAACTTGTTGATGCATCATCTAACTCCTTATCTTCCGCCTCCTGTGAAGCCGATGTCACTTCACTAGCTTCATGAAACTCGTCATCATCGTCCGTGGTTGTTAACAAGACGCTTCTGCGTTTGGGCGCCTCAATTGGCTGCAATGGCGTCTTATTCTTCAACAAAATCTGAGCCCGTTCTGGCATCTTGGCTGAGCAAAGTTTGTCCACAAATTTGCGTATGCGATTGCGCGTTGTATAGAAATGTGGATAGTCCTATAAGCATATGTAATTATGAAATGTAAGAAAATGCAAATGTATTTAATGAACAGAAGGATGTGTGACAGGCCCGATAAATTATGTGTATTCTTGATCAGGACGAACAACTGAGTCCATGTGTCCATGCTCGTATATATGTATATATATATTTATTCTATATTTCTTACCAATTTCAGCCTGGCCCTTTGCTGCGCCAGCTCAGCGCTGACACGTTTGGCGGATGTGTTGGATATGGTCTTGGACTTCATATTAAAGCCATGCGGAGTCAGCTTTTGGTTAATCAACTTGCTGGCATCCTTACGCGTCAGTGGTTTTGGTGGAAGTCTAAAAATAATTCGAAATTTCTTAGATTTTCTCAGATAAGTTATATTCGCTACTTACTTAGCCTTTTGAGTGGGTTTGATATTTGGCGACATAAATATTTGTCGCTCCGGCTCGGAGGTCAGGACTTCACTGCCCTCATCGCTGATGCTCTCTTCTCCGCTGAGGCTTTCGCTAATATCCGTGGTTTCCAGCTGTTCTGGCTGGCTTTCGGCTGTTGTGGGCTTCGGTTCGTCTTTGATAGGCTCTGGCTCTGGCTTTGTGTAAGTTGGATGACTACCCGAGCTGTTGGCACTTGGCAGCTCTTGCACATGGGTCACCACATGCTTTTGTTTTTGTTGTTCCGGCTGTGGGGCTGGCTCTTCTATGGAGTAGGTGTCATCATCGCGTTTGGCTTTCAGGAACTCGGTTTCCACCAAGCGCTTAATGCGCTCCATGTTTTCCTCCTTTTTGGGAACTGGTTTTGGTATCTTGGATGTGGTTGCGGCTTGCTGCACCTCCGTAGTGGGCAGTTTACGCACACTGAGCCGTTTCAGATCTCTTTCCAGCGCTTCTAGTTTTTCCTTGTAGCCCACTTCTAGTTGTTGCACTACCTCCTCCAGCTTATTGGCGCTGACCTTTCCAATTTCTGCCACTTTTTCGGTGAGTATTCGTTCTAAGTCCTCAAGACAAGGAGTGGCCACGCGGTCTTCGGCGGTTGCCGGCGTAGCAGCTTTGGTCTCTGCGTGTTGTTTGGTTTGCTCCAGAGCTATGGTTAGGTCTTCCAGCTTCTGGTTTATGCCCTTGATAAAATCCTCATTGCTCTGCTTGAGCTGTGCCTGCCAAGCTTCAAAGCTGCTCAGCCGTTCGGCCAGGCCATGGAGTTGCTCCTTACGTTCGCTAGCCTCACTTTCGGCGGCCTCGCTGCTAAGTTCGTCCTTTTCCTTGTAGTCGGCCAAATTGCTTTGTATGCCCACATGGCGCATAGGCATCGCTGTTATCACCTGATCCTGAGGCTGTAGCTTGGAGCTGCCACTGCGCTCCTTAATATTGCGCTCGGCTGCATTGAGACGCTCCTTCAACTGCTTGATCTCCAGCTCCATTTTGATTGTGTTAATCAGCTGCATATCATTGTCCTTTTCGCGCACAGTCGATCCAGCTAAATTGGAGGAGGGTGTACCCACTCGATGCTTGCGTCCGATATGTACGTTCAGAGCCTCGTTGCTGATGAAATTTTTGGTGCAGAGATGACACGGGTAGACCACCTCGCGTATGGCCTCGATTTGCGTGATCTTCTTGTGCAGCTGCACCACCTCATTGTTCGATTCGCTAAGCAAGTTGCGCAGCTTCGTAATCTCCTGCTGCGATACTTCGTGTGCCTCACGCAGTTCGCCCACGCTCTCGTCGAGGTATGTGCGACAGCAGAGCAGATACTGGATCGCATATTGTGACATGACAAAGTACTTGGCAATGCCGCCATCGAGTATGTGTGTCTCAAGCATTGTGCCCAGCGGCGCTTCGGACAAATGCTGTAGTGCATCGTCCACGACCTCCAAGTTTTGCTCACGTAAAATTCGTTCCGTCTCATATGAACCTGATGAGCATTGAAATTAACAGTTCACTTCGTCGGTCTTACAACTTTCCATATTTACCCATCAGACGCCAGTCCAGTGGTCCATCTCGAAACTGACGTAGCTTGAAGCCCGCCTCTCGCATCACCTGCGGAAAATTGTTTTTGTAACCCATTAGTGGCGCATCGACAGCTGAAAGGGAAAGTTATTTATTGCCGCCTCAATTCTAATTCTATTTTTCGACTTACTTCAATTGTTTGCTGCAATCGCTTTCCCTTTTCGTTATTTATTTGTTGTTGTCAATGTGTTCGACTTGCTCGGTTGCTTGGCAACCGCTGACAGTTTGCTCCACTGTCGCCGGCGCTGTCAGCTGGTTGAGAACCTGGCTGAAATGCATGTTAAAGGTACTCTCAAGGGTGGAATCAGTCAACAGGCCAACCTCAGTTCATTTCAACTTGATTCGACTTGACTGCCTCTGGCTGGCTGGAAATCGTATATCTAAAGAAGATTCTTCTTAGGTCATGTGTATTAGATACTTAGACACTACCTTTAGTTCATATTTAGAAAATAGTTTATTACAAAATAATATAAATAAAATTAAAGACACGAAGCACTGCAAGGAGTCCATTAATTTTAGCTACTTTAGCCACTATTGAGTCCTGGATTCTTTAATGGAAGAAATATTGCTGCAGTCACATTCATTCACTGCATAAAACAATTAAACTTCTAGTCGGACTGCCCGATAAGGATAGACTACAGTAGACTACAGTAGACTACAGTAGACTACAGTAGACTACAGTAGACTACAGTAGACTACAGTAGACTACAGTAGACTACAGTAGACTACAGTAGACTACAGTAGACTACAGTAGACTACAGTAGACTACAGTAGACTACAGTAGACTACAGTAGACTACAGTAGACTACAGAGACTACAGTAGACTACAGTAGACTACAGTAGACTACAGTAGACTACAGTAGACTACAGTAGACTACAGTAGACTACAGTAGACTACAGTAGACTACAGTAGACTACAGTAGACTACAGTAGACTACAGTAGACTACAGTAGACTACAGTAGACTACAGTAGACTACAGTAGACTACAGTAGACTACAGTAGACTACAGTAGACTACAGTAGACTACAGTAGACTACAGTAGACTACAGTAGACTACAGTAGACTACAGTAGACTACAGTAGACTACAGTAGACTACAGTAGACTACAGTAGACTACAGTAGACTACAGTAGACTACAGTAGACTACAGTAGACTACAGTAGACTACAGTAGACTACAGTAGACTACAGTAGACTACAGTAGACTACAGTAGACTACAGTAGACTACAGTAGACTACAGTAGACTACAGTAGACTACAGTAGACTACAGTAGACTACAGTAGACTACAGTAGACTACAGTAGACTACAGTAGACTACAGTAGACTACAGTAGACTACAGTAGACTACAGTAGACTACAGTAGACTACAGTAGACTACAGTAGACTACAGTAGACTACAGTAGACTACAGTAGACTACAGTAGACTACAGTAGACTACAGTAGACTACAGTAGACTACAGTAGACTACAGTAGACTACAGTAGACTACAGTAGACTACAGTAGACTACAGTAGACTACAGTAGACTACAGTAGACTACAGTAGACTACAGTAGACTACAGTCGACAGTAGACTATAGACTATATATGGTTGAAACCAAAACATTCTTGTTAATTAATGCATGAGAAGCTTAATATTTATTAAAAAAAAGAAAATCTGAAAATGATACTTCCAACTATCCTTAGATGAGATATTAAATAAAAAATATATACGTTGGCTTAAATAAGTTTTAAAGTTAAGAATATATTAGGCGTAGTTAATTTTGAAATTATTTAAATTTGGCGCTTATTAAGCACTCGCAACTTGTATGACAGCAGCTGCGTCTGGGCAACAGCGTTCGGAGATATTTTCGCTCAGTTACGATTGGACCCCGGACGCATAAGGTTTACTTTTAATACGACAAGCAGTACACAATGCATGTATTCAGTTAAAATTAAAAATATATATAGTGCACTAGTTTGAGGATTGCATTGCAATAAAAGGAGTTTAATAATGAGTCGTTGGTTCTGGTTGGGTTTTTTCTTGCTGCTGCCGTTGGCAAATACAACACGTAAGTTAGCCAAGGTTTGGCTTGAAAAATCTATTGAAATTCCGATACTATGCACGAAGAGGATGCTGTATCTCTAAAGTTGCCCAGCTGTCAGAGAGGCTGCGCCCAGCGACAGAGTCGAAGAGCGCGAGAGAGCGAAAGCTCAGCGACTGCGCAGTCCTTTGTTTTGGGAAATTTCTAACAATGTTTGGGATTTTTCTTTTATTTGGGTATTTTCCCATTGAGCAGCACCTGTTAGCTTCGAGGCAAACCCAGACACGAAACGTCTCTATGATGATTTATTGAGTAATTACAATCGCCTCATACGCCCCGTGGTAAATAATACGGAGACGCTCACTGTCTGGCTGGGCCTCAAGTTGTCGCAGCTTATTGAGGTCAATCTAAAGAATCAGGTGATGACCACCAATTTGTGGGTCAAACAGGTGGGTGAACATTTAACCTGAGTTTTAATGACGTGTATAACGTATAATGTGTGGCTCTTAGCGCTGGTTCGATTATAAACTACGCTGGGATCCGGAGGAGTACGGCGGAGTAGAGCAATTGTATGTGCCCTCCGAGCACATATGGGTGCCTGATATTGTGCTCTACAACAACTGGGATGGCAACTATGAGGTACCCTCACGTTGAGCTATCTCGCATTCCAATCTCAATTCAATCAAACTTTCTCTTTAGGTCACTCTCATGACGAAGGCCACATTAAAGTACACAGGGGAGGTCTTTTGGGAGCCGCCAGCTATTTACAAATCATCCTGTGAAATGAACGTTGAATATTTTCCTTACGATGAGCAAATTTGCTTCATGAAATTCGGCTCATGGACCTACAACGGCGCCCAAGTGGATCTAAAACATTTGGATCAGGTAAGCCAAACCGCATTTCGTTTAAGCTGCAACCGAAGGATGCAAATTTGCTTTGCGCTTCAATGCACAAAATGCAATTTATGCGGACACAAGCAAGGGGCAGGCAGCGGGGATTGGGCAGCGGAAAGACATGCTACGTAACAAATTGCCTAGTCTGGCTTGGGCAACTGGTTAAGAGTCATATGTGTGTGTGTCTACATTCCATGTACAGGTGCCCGGCAGCAATCTTGTGCAGGTTGGCATCGATTTAAGTGAATTCTACTTGTCTGTGGAGTGGGACATACTCGAGGTGCCGGCTACCAAAAACGAGGAATACTATCCGGACACATTGGAGCCATTTTCAGGTGAGTTACACTCGAGGTTTTTTCTGTCAGTTTTTTATTCTTGTTGGCCGTTGTAATATGTAAATTTGATGTCTCCTGCAGATATTACCTTCAAGTTGACCATGCGGCGCAAAACGTTGTTTTATACGGTGAATTTGATTGTGCCCTGCGTGGCATTAACTTTCCTTACCGTTTTGGTCTTTTATCTACCCAGCGATTCGGGCGAAAAGGTAAGCGCAAAGCTATCAAGGATGCAAATAGGCAAGTGCAAGAGATATTCCTTAGCATTTGGATTTTACTGAGTTGCAAACTCTTTGCATGCGGCATGTTGTTATACTTATAACAGTAGACTTAAAGCGTAGTAGTAGTAATTTAGTTACCTTATATACAACTATCTACAAACAATCTACTAAGAACACTTAAAACATCTCTCAATATATAACCTTAAGTTTCTATATGCACTTTAAACAATCTATCATTTACTCAACTTCCACTTCAGCTAGATCTGACTTTTGAAAGCTGAGCTCTTTAGTTATTTCGCTAAGACCAATTGGCTCCAATAGAAAATATTGTTAGAAAAGTTCTGAAACGAAACGAAAGTTTAGAAATAAACGCATAAGAGCTCAACTTGCATAACCTCCCCAATAACTATCTACTTCTTTGCTATCGCTCTCCATTTCAATCTAATTTATTATAGAATAATTTATAGCAATTGCAATATACATTTACTAAGTACTCTATCAATCTTCAAATCACAGAGTTTCAGGCATTCCAAGCTGACCAATTCAACCTTCAGTCATGCAGCACACATATATTCCCATTCATTTTGCGTCGAATATCATTTGTGCTGTTCTAGAGTAGTGAAATCTCATAACGTAAATTTCATCGAATGCATACAAAAGATAATTAAATTGAATCGATACCTCAAATTGATTCGACTTTAATACTAAAGTTTCCACCACTCTAAAATTATTTCCTGAATATCGGGTAGCCTGCAATCAATCGCAGCATTCCAAATCTCACACCTGACCTACACGTAAACATTTCGACACCTACACACGTACATGAAAAACGCATCCACTAACACGCGCCTACATGAACACGCACAAGCCAAACACCTACACATCCTCACACTCACACACATATACACGCATACACCTATAGACACACAGTAAAGAGTGATGTTTGTTGTTATTGTTATATTTGTTACTTGTCTCGTTTGAATCAATCATTTGCCTGGAGTAATAACTTAGCAATACGTATTTAATAAATTTAAGCAAAGTCTGAGATATGTGAAATTTTATACAATTAGCTTGGCTACGTCTCAGATAATATTCGAGTCTTAAACAATTTTCACAAATCGATATTCAAATAGATTTTTCTTATAATCAAGTAAAATGCTTTACAGATCAGCTAGACTCGATTGAAAGAGTTCTGTTAGCTATAGAAATTTCTCTATTCTTAAAAAATATTTATTCAAGCAACGGATTATGGAAAATAATCGTACTTTACAAATGAAATAGAATAGATTAAAATTATTATTATATAATAACAATATGATAAAACAATATTTTGAAAGTTGATCTATTAGCAAACAAAATATATTTTTCTTTGTTTTTTGTTGAGTTGTTCAGATGTTATGAGCCTTCGGGGCTTGATCACCTATCAGACAGTCAGGTCAATTTATATATTATCTTAAGATCAAGTTTTTCTTAGTTTGAAGTTAGTTTTAAAGTGCATTTATATAAACTTGCAGATGACGATCTGTAGCTCAGTGCTATTATGATATGATGAACAGTATAAAGTTATTAGCTATAAATCTATAATTTTCAAACAGCTCAGGTACCTACTGCCTTTAGTTGATGAATTCAACCAAAATAGATTCAATTAATGCACATATTTCGAAAAAAATAAAATCAGTTTATTAAATTATACCACTTTTAATTTATTTTTATTAAGCCAATTAAACTTTGGATGAGGTACAGGGATAAGTGTTTTAATTTCATTATTAAAAGCATTGAAAAATAAAATGTATTTAATATTTGTAAAGAGTTTCCAGGCATTCAATTATGTAGAGCGCTTTGTTGTTTGTTGTGTTGATTGCTATCACTTATAGTATGATTCATTTGTTGGGAAGGGAAGGGCGCAAAGCCTTTGAGTGTGATGGCATCAAGTATGTTGGTGTGAGTAAAGCGTTTGATTGAGTGATTCGCCTGATTTCACTATTTGCGTTGTTTGCCATTGAACAAATTTGTTGTGATTCATTAAGTTTTTATTATTTTTACTTAAAACGAAGAAATTTAAAGAAATAATGTATTTGTTGAAATCGTCTTATTGTTTCACACGGCGTATACGTAATTGATATGTAATTGGCTATAAATGATAATGATTATTAATCTGTTTGTCCATGTGTTCGTTTGGTTTGCGTCTGTGTGTTTTTGTCATTGTTGTGGTTGTTAATGTTGCAAAAGAAAAGGCTTTGTAAGAGGCACTCCGAGCCACAAGGAGATAGTAAGAGAGAGAGAGAAACTGTGTAAACATTTCGTTGACAGGTTACGTTATGTATTTCAATACTCGTGTCGTTGACCGTGTTCTTCTTGCTATTGGCCGAAATCATTCCGCCCACTTCGTTGGCGGTGCCCCTGCTGGGCAAGTATCTACTCTTTACCATGATACTCGTCTCGCTGTCCGTTTGGACAACGGTCTGTGTGCTCAACGTACACTTCAGGTGAGTGCTGCGACTCCTCAACCCACAACTAACTCACTCATTTTACTTCACTTATTGCCTCTTGCCCGATTAATGAATGAATTAACGAATCATCCAAATTAACTAACAACAGGTCCCCTTCGACGCACAGCATGTCGCCGACGACTCGCAAAGTGTTCCTGCATATTATGCCCAAGCTGATGATGATGCGACGCACTCAGTACACTCTGCCCGACTACGACGACTCCACGCCCAGCAATGGCTATACCAACGAGATCGATGTTCGGTAGCTATACGCCAGTCCTTTATGCACAGTTCACCTTTTACTAACCTTTATTTCGCCTTGTTTCTTTCTGTTTTGTATGTTTTTCCAGCGACAGCATCAGCGACTTTCCCAGCGAGTTTAAAGACAGCCAGGATGGCGCTTACGATAATGGCATGCAGCACTCTGTGGGTGAGTTTGAATTTGAGTAGATGTGCGAAAGTAGGGGTATGCTTGCTACCAAAAAACATAGCAGAGAGGCTCTGCTTAGGGGGATTGTCCGTTTATAGAAAACACAAATAGTTTCCCAATATTCGCGGCTAACCGCGACCCAAAAGTCGAAATTGAAATCAAATAAAAATAAGCAAATAATGCAATAAAATGGAACTGAATATGCCGTCGGGCATTCTCAAGGTTGATAGCTTCGCTTTGCTGTCGCCGGACACTGTTGATGGCTGCGACGATGACGACGATGTGATGCTTTGATGGCAAAAAAAAAACAGAAAACGCCTATGTGGTTCCACAGAGTAAATGTGTGGGGGCGTGCGTGTGTCTGTGGGATAATAAAACAAACCATGTGTGAAAACGACTTAAATGGAAAGAACGAATTCCTTATGACCTAAGCGCAGGCTAAAAACTAATCGACGTACCAGCAAGTCCTCTTTAAAAATGAACTTTTATAACTGCAGAAAACATTTTTATTAAGTTTGACAATTTCTATAAAAAAATGACATTTTTTTTTATAATGAAAGCCAGCATGGCTAAGAAAATACTTCTTCAAAAAATTTGTTTTTTTTTTTATTATTTACTCTACACCATTTTTATTATTTTTATTCATTGAATAATTTAAAAGTCAATGTGCAATCCATATAAAATTTTTAATTAATATCACTATTTTCATTAGCCTCTTAGGTGCTGGAATGGTCAACCATGGTAGTAATAATCATAAGCATAGCACGCAGCTAGGCTGTTGTTGTTGGGCTTAGAGTTGCGCGAGCTACTGTTGGCTATGGGGCTTGTTTTTGAGCTAGGCTATAATATCGTTGTATGCATACACATATGACACACGTTCGCCTTCACACACACATGCACACACATTCAATTGCAGATTTGGAGTTGCCATTCGCCCAAGGGGCTACACAGGCATCTCCATTTATTTATTATTCCAATATTTTATTTCAATTTTTTGCAATTTCATGCGCTCGCCACGGGTCTTGACAGATTCCGACAATGTGATACCACGCAACTTAACACCCGAAGTGCTGCAGGCATTTCGTGCGGTCAGATTTATTGCGCAGCACATCAAGGATGCCGACAAGGATAACGAGGTGGGTAGACGGGTGCACAGAATACTCCAGCACGGCGTGGCTCAGCTCTGCCTTGCCCACTTTTATTGAGCAACACCAAGGACCGCCGCCGTTTGAATCCGTATTCGCATTCGTATTCGAATTCGAATTATTATGGCTGTTATTGTTTAGGCTGCGCTGTCATATTTTTGGCGTCTGGCAGAACTTTGCTTTCCGTGCACATTATCTCCGCCTGCCATTTTCTCCCATTCCCATTATTGTTTATTGCCCAAAACTTTGGGCTGAGCACCACACAGACTGATTGTAGATTGTAGAGTGGCAAGGCTGTCAAGTGTGCAACATGGAATTGTAAAATATTAAATCATAACTTTATATTTTTATTACACTTCAAGTTTATTGAAAGACAGACGCAAACGAGATTTTATGGCTTCAATTGAAACCAATTTATTTATCAGCGCTCGTCTATGTTTTACGAGCTCTGAAATAATCCCAATATTATTAAAAATCCACATTCTTCTGGTCGATAGAATAACAGTTTTATTTCTGGTCTAGTTTTGAGTGCTTGCCATTGCGTAAATGATTGATTTACTTCCCTTCACAGATTGTCGAGGATTGGAAATTTTTTTCCATGGTCTTGGATCGCTTCTTTCTCTGGCTGTTTACTTTATCTTGTGTGTTCGGCACCTTCGCCATCATCTGCCAATCGCCCTCACTCTATGACACACGCGCGCCCGTCGACCGGCTGTACAGTGAGATACCATTGCGTAAAAGCAATTTCATGCTGCCGCCGGACATTGTCAGGCAGGTGGTTAATTAGGTGTGGAAAGGAGCAAACTTCGAGTCATGGGTCATATTTGACAAAAAAATAAATAAAACCGATAAAGTCAATAATTATGCAAATTGAATTGAAAATCATTTACATGTAACCATTGAAATCTAGCGAACAATTAAGTCGGCTTTCAAGTACTTCAGCAATATTATAAATCTATAATAATTATAAATAATTAATAATAAATTAATCAATTAATGAATTAATGTCAAGTGGAAAGCATAGCACAAGTATTCATATTAATAAACAATTCAATTTTTAAATGAAATACATGGCTTTTATTCGTAAAAGGAATTATAAATGATAATCAATTTTAATAAAAAAAATAATTCAATGTGTTTTAATATATTGTCAGTTATAACAGTTTGATTCGTATGATTTCATTGTTAATTGAATTTCGATTGAAATTATCTACTTGAAATCATAAGGGTTGTCGTTTATGTAAGGCTTTTCAGCTCATTCATTGCAACACGTTATTTGTGTTACTTTACTTTCTATTCAGCTTATAAATTATTATCACGCATACGCCACATTGCACAAGCAGCCATATGTCTATTGTCTGCACTGGTTCACTATGCGAGTGTGTCTGTTTATTTTCAATTAAAAACTCAGTTTGCAATATATGGTCTGGGCATAAAACATTTTGGTACAATACAGTACAAGTTTACGAAGTTGATGAGAAGCAGATATTACGCATACGCCACGTTGCCTGCCTTAATAATTTGCAATATAATTTATTTTGGTTGTGCGCTCGTTGGTTCAACTCTCGCTTCGTTTACCATTCGCCATTCGCCAGTCGTCTTTGTCTCTGTCATTGAAGTTATCCGTCTGGCTGCCGCATTAAATTAGAAAGTTGAAATCTCTTTGGCCTCGCATTCATCAACATGTGCAGTAAGTAAGCCACCTCATCCATGGCGCAAGCAAAAAACAAAAGACTTTCACTTCTCCACTGTCAACAGACATCATTTGCGAGTTTCTTGACTGAATACCCTTCCAGATGTCAACTACATTGATAACCGAGCATATTGCTGCACCACCAAATACCCTTTCCACTTACCCACATCATTTATCATCAGAAGGTCTTCAGGGAAAGATTTCTGATATCTAAAATATAAATTAAGTATTTAAGTTACACATAGTTTCCATAAAAATGTCTATTTTTAGTTAATATTTTCTTTTTTTTTTTAAGTCGTATTTCGTGCCTGGTACTCAATTTTTTGGCAATGTTAATTTGAATAGGGAAAAACTTAGCAGCGACAGTCTTTGCATACACATTTTGAGCAGGGTATAGTAAATCTTATAAAGATTTGCTTATAGTCTTGTACAACTGGCTCGTTCCTTTTCTTTGCCCTTTGCTGCGTTTTCCTGTTGTTATTTTATTTTTACTTTCGCTTCTCTTTTTTTGTTGGCAGTTTTAAATTAGAAAAGTTTTCGCCAGATTTTTGTTTTACATTTTTCATATTTTCTACGGGACATGCCCTGCATGTTTGTTGTCCTTGTCGTTTTTGGTGTCAGCGCGTCATATGCGTACCCCAAAATGCTGCCAGCCCCAGTCCCCGCCACTACGCCAACTGCCCCCGACCCATCTTCAGCTCCATCCACATTTGCGAGCTGAGCTGCTCTGAGTTAAAAAATGCGAGGAATGTCATGTTTATTTCTATTTGTGGTTAAACATGGCGTGTGCTCTGATCCTGCTCAGGCTCTGGACGTGTCCTCCTGCTGGCCGATAATGGCATTTGCATAAGTTGCATAAGTATTGCAAAGTATGCAACACATTTTGCGTTGGGCACAAGTTAAAGTTCAGCCAACACAAAACAATATGCTAATGCCAGAATCAAGACCATTTTCGACTCGGTCTAAGCGGTTTTTCATAAGCCCCACTCGAGGACAGCTGGTCGAGTTGTGTTAAGCATCTGTTAAGAGACTTAACTCGTCTTACACGGTCAATTATAAGCTACAGCAATTGTCTTGAACAACTAATTAGACAACGTCAACGCAGCGCAGCGGAAATCAAAACCATAAAATAAGAAAGCAAGGAAATGCCTGGGCCTGGCCAGGAAATGCAGTAAATGCAAATAATTTGTGGAAGGAGTGGAGCTGGTCAAGAACGATTCGGGTCAACTTTACCAAGTTGGCTCAAGTGCTCGTTCGAGAGCAACATAGCACGTGCGAGGGAAAGTTTGGCTCGTAAGCTCGCATACACATAAACACACACATACACACACACAGCACTTAATCGCTCATACACATACACACACATATCTATTCGTAGTGCACTCGTGCGCTTCTGCCGCATGTCCTGTGGCCCAATGGCATGATAGGAAAGAAATCTGAAAATTGCTACATTTGACCAAAGACACGTCAATTAGAACGGGATTCCATTTCAGTGCATTATAAAGCTGGGGGCAAGCTGAGAGCTTGACTGGGGGCGTGGTCATGAGTGTGAAACACTTGACTTTGACGTGTCGCTCCCCCAGCCAATGGCCTCCTGCCAGGCCATTTGAGCCAGTTATTTATTTAATTCCAAAGCAATGTTTTGTTTGTATTTTTGTTGCGGCTCTTTGTATCTGCTTTGTGCCACGCTGCAGGCGATTTTGTAACAACATTTTTTAAGGTTGATTTTTTGTTATTTTCGGTTGTATTCACTCAGCCAGTTAACCCACATGTGCGCACAGCGGGTTGGATAGGTCCTGGCTATTTGCAAATATTCGACCTGAGATTAAATTTGGGGAGCACACAAAAGTCATTATGGCAAATTATATAAATATAAAAGTATATAAAATATAACTTTTTAAAAACTAAATTAAATTTTACTTTGTTAATTAATTCCAAATTTTTTTCCAAGAATAGATATATATTGATTTGAGTAAATAAATAAATATTTTAATATAATTCTACGTGCTTTTATGTAACTATTAGTTCGAGGTTAATTCAGTTAGCTCTCGTATATATTTAATTTCGTATTAGCTCAGTAATCCGCTTCCAAATTCTACCCCTATTAGTTTTAGGTGCCAGGGTCAGGTTAAATAGTTAAGTCAATTCGGGTCGCTTTTAGCTCTAAAGTTCATTTCAAAAGAACAAACAAATCAACAACAACTGCACACACTCACACAAGTGCAGGCGTGACTCTGTGTGCGTGTGTGTGTATTTGTCTAGGCGTTCGGTGTGTGTATTTGTGCAATGATAAATTACAAAATTGCTGCCTATGGCAATGTGAGTTGGCCCAGGCGGCCGCAAAAGCCATTTTGTTGTTATTAAGTTTGCCTTTTGCCATTTTTCTGCAACATACACACATAGACAGCTACCATGTGTGTGTGCCTTTCAGGCTCGACAGTTGTACTGCGTGAAATTAATGATGCGCCGCTTTTCTTGGTTTTGTGTTGGCTTTTGTTTTTGTCTGCGTGGTTTCTTTATATATATATATATATATATATATTTTTTTTTTTTGTTGGATTCCGGGTTGCAACAGCGACGTAGGCCAAGATGTCCACAAAATGTAGAGGCTAAAGACGTTTTTATTAATAGTCCTGCTACGTGGTCACGATTAACTGCCATTTTACGCACTCGCACTCGCAGTAGCTCTCGTCCTCCAGTCAAAAGGCGCCGATGGGCGGTCTCAGCCTTTTTGAAAGCTTTTTGCTGTTGCGTAAGTCAAAAAGTCTTCTCCATGTGTATCTTGTGTGTCTGCGGCGGTGGTGGTGGTGTGTGTGTAGTGCGTGTAAGCTGCGCGGGATTTGGACACGACTTTACTTAAGTTCATAAAATTCTATTAAAAGCAAACTCGTGGCTTAAGGCACGCCCCCTTTGTAAGCTGCATGCCAATAGCCACAAAGTGTTATGAGCTGTAATTGACATTCACCACAATTCGAACAACTTTTAGTTAACAAATTATGCATTAGGATAAATATATTTATAAAAGTATCGTGAATCGAGTCCAAATGCGAAACTCCATACACTGGAAAAAATTTTAATGACTTTTTTAAAGTTAATTATTAATATTAATTGAGATGAAAATATATATTTGAATAATATTATTTATGGAAATGCATTTGTATTTCGAATTAGCTGGGTTAACTTTGATTTAGAGCTAAGAGAAACTTGAATTATTTACTTGCAGGGGATCTTCTTAAATATGCTGTGTAAACCGAAGATATTCTTCTAAAATGTAATGTGACTATTCTCTGACAAAATAGTATTGAGCGCTCTAGAGTAAATAAGGTAAAGAGACTTAAACTTAGAACTGGATGAAAGCCTTTACCAAATTTTAGAAATTTCCGCCGCTTAAAGAGCCATCGTAGCCAACAATAGATTCTCAAAAACTATTCACAATTTGCGAGCAAAAAAACGTTTGATTATTTTCCGCACTTATTACTTACTTACATATTTCCAGCAAGGAACGAACTCACTCCCGCTAAAATATAACTTTAGGTAATTGTGTGTAAGGTATATCTGCCAGTGTCTCTATATGCTTATTAATTGATATTTATTGCTATATTAACAGTTGATCTAGTTCCATTGGAGGTTTTCATTTCAGTTTGCTGCAGCTTTTTATGTTAGACCCTAAAGCGAATTTAGCTTTAAATCCTTAGTAGTGAGTGGTCTCCGTAAGCCAGCATATACATTTTAAGTCTATACGTATTTATTCTCAATTCAATTCTATACTACAGTATTTGAAGTTCGTCTGATTCCCCGGCAGCTGTTGTTACTGTTGTTAGTCTATCCGCGTATGAGTTCGGCGACTGTAGGAATCGTTTGATCCATAGCTTCTCACAAATCAGCTCCAGTCCATCTTTTGGATGGCTATAGTTCTTAAGGAAATACTTTCATATTTTTTAATTGATCCTAGTCTTATACACCTAACATTAGAATCCTAAAAATTGTTTCTTTTATTGGCAGCGACATGCACTTTTTACATCTGAACAACAGCTGAGCTTACTTGAGATACCAAAATCATATGTACTCAATAGCTGAGTATACAAATGCAATATAAAAAAGTTGCATGTGCTCAAGTGAACATCAAGCATGAGCGGCCGCTTAGAGGGTGTCCAGAAGTCGCAAATACTCGAGCTAAGCGCACTTGAAAGTTTTGGTTTCGCTTTTTATTTCATAATGTTACTCGAAATGATATTTCATTGGG